CAGGCGCCCTTGTAGTCAGTTCTAATCATGTTTTCACTGTTGCCTTTGTTCTTACTGCCTGTCAGCAAAAGATTATGTATTTGAAGGTCAGGAGACTAGTACTAAAGTTTACATTTTTTCTTGCCTTTTTAAAAACAGAGCTTCATGCTTTACCAGCTGACCAGGCATGGTAAACAAATGACTGCTCAGTATCAAATAGGTAATTCTAGATGAGCTCCTGAACAACGAAAGTACCCATTGTTCCTTCTCTAGGGTTAATTTTCACACTGTAATGTGTATAAATGTAACTTTTTTCTTTATTTTAAAGTTTTTTTTTTTTTAAAGATTTTATTTATTTATTTGAGAGAGAGAGAATGAGAGATAGAAAGCACGAGAGGGAAGAGGGTCAGAGGAAGAAGACTCCCTGCTGAGCAGGAAGCCTGATGTGGGACTCGATCCGGGATTCCAGGATCATGACCTGAGCCGAAGGCAGTCGCTTAACCAACTGAGCCACCCAGGCGCCCAATGTAACTTTTTTCTTATAGAGGTCTTTTTTCCCTAAGATTTTATTTGAGAGAGTGAGCACAAGTGGGGGGAGGGGCGGAGGCAGAGGGAGAGGAAGAAGCAGACTCCCTGCTGAGCAGGGAACGGGCTAGGGGCTCGATCCCAGGACCCTGGGATCATGACCTGAGCTGAAGGCAGAAGCTTAACTGACTGAGCCACCCAGGTGCCCCGAGGTTGGTTGGTTGGTTTTTTTTAATAGAAGCTATTATTACTCTGTAGTCTCTTCAAAATTGCCATTTTATTGATGGCCTTTCTGATAATAGTTGTCCATATTCTTCTTCTAGTGCTTTGCCAGACCTTTATCAAAATGGGGCTGCTGTCTTCTTTCACCTGTAGTGATGAGTTTAGCTCGTTGAGGCTACACCACAACAGAGCTATTACTCATTTAATGAGGTCTGCTAAAGAGAGAGTTCGTCAGGTAAGCACTAAAATAGAAACTTCGTGTATGACAAAAACATTTTAATTTCAGAACTGTATTTTAAAGCATTATGAAGTCCTGGTTATAATACAGGTTTATAAAAATGTTAACCTTGATTTGTTCAATAAGTATTTACCATGTGTTAGGCTTGTAGGAGCTGGGATTCAAGCAGCAAACGAAACAGACAAAAGACAAAACACCTGCCCTCATTGGGGCTTTTTTTTTTTTGAGCTTACGTTCTGATGAGGGGGCAGTCAGCAATAGAAACATAATAAAAATACATAAAAATAAAGGGGGTGTTACATACATGGTGGTAAGTGTTAAGGAGAAATATAAAGCAGTGAAGGGGCTTAGAAAATGTGTGGGTTATATACAAGGTGGTCAGTTACTGAAGTTAGTAGCTGCAGTTGAGAATACGAGACATGCACCTATCTGGAGGAAAGAGCCTTTGGGCAGAGGATCAGTCATTCCCGAGGTGGCAGTGTGCTTGGTGTGTTTGGGAAGCTGACTGGCAGCCATGTGGCTGGAGTAGAGTAAGCAGGGGGACAGTATGAGAAAGGTAGGGCTAGCAGGGCAGCGGATGGACAGATGGAGGAGGGTCTTGAGACAATTTTAACGTCTTTGGGTTTTTTTTGTTTTTGTTTTTAAGATTTTATTTATTCATTTGACAGAGAGAGATACAGCGAGAGAGGGAACACAAGCAGGGGGAGTGGGAGAGGGAGAAGCAGGCTTCCTGCGGAACAGGGAGCCGGATGCGGGGCTTGATCCCAGGACCCTGGGACCATGACCTGAGCCGAAGGCAGACACTGAACGTCTGAGCCACCCAGGCGCCCACGTCTTTGGTTTTTTACTCAGAGTAAAGTAGGAAGCTTTATAGGATTTTGAGCCCAGGAGTGACTTGATCTGACTTACATTTTATTTTATTTTTATTTATTTATTTATTTTTTTAGATTTTATTTATTTGACAGAGAGAGCACAAGCAGAGGGAGAGAGAGGGAGAAGCAGGTTCCCTGCTGAGCCAGGAGCCCGAAGTGGGACTCGATCCCAGGACCCCGGGATCATGACCTGGGCCGAAGGCAGCCGCTTAACCGACTGAGCCACCCAGGCGTCCCAACATTTTAATGGACCACCGCAGCTGCGGTGTTGAGAATAGATGGAGGGAGGCAAAGGCAGGAGCAGGGGGGCAGGTGGTCAAACAGGCAAGAGGTGATAGGAGCTTGGAGTGGGTGGTAGCAGTGGAGATGAGAAGTGGTCCATTTCTGCATCTGTCTTGAAGGTGAAGTCAGAATTACTTGCTGGTAGAGCCCCTTGGTAGTTCTTCGTCTTATCAGTGGATGGCAAGAATATAGCTTTTTTAGAGTAGTGATCTTTTGGTTAAGACAAATGTTTTCAATTGTAAACCCCTACGTGATATTTTTCAGAAATAGCCAGAATGTTTTTCTTTTTTTAAATATTGTTTGAACATTTGGGACTATTAATGTGACATTGAATTTTGTTAGAGTCCTCATTTCATGAAATTTGCCTAAAATGCTTTTAAAAGTAGTTTTCTGATTTTAGGATCCTTGTGAGGATAATTCTCATATCCAGAAGATCAGGTATGTGTCAGATACTTCTGTGATTGTGCAAAGAGTAAAATGTCCGAAAGAAATTAAGGTTAAGAGCTGATTCTGAATTAATCAGAAATTAGTTTTGGAGTTAAAAATAATGTAGTTAGGGTACTTTATGAAAAAAAAGCTTTATTCTCAGAAATTAATGACTGCTCCAAGATTTGCTTTACTTCTCATTCCCCTTATGCTCCCCCCCCATTCTGTGTGGATTCCATAAGCCCCACCCTTAATTCAGAGCACTGATAGTCTGTCAGGGGAACAACACTGAATTTTGGCTATATGTGAGAAATGCTAGTTTAAAATTTATAACTCATTAAGAAATTTTTCATTAAGAAATATAAGTAAATTTATTACTGAGCTCAGCTAATCAACTGTTGCCTGTTTGTCATCCTTAGGATTCCTGCTTTAAAACATTGATAATTTCTAATTGGAATACTAATTACTGGTAACGTACTTGATTAACGATCCCTTTGCTAACTCTCTTTTGTCCCCTTGCTATCTTTATTACATGTTGATTTGCTTAGTTAGCAAATCATTTTCTTCCTAGAGAAAGAAAAATTTTGTTTTGGCTCATCTTTTCAAAGCATCATAATTTAGTGATCAGTAAGGTTTGGCAGGTTAGTGTTACAGTGAATGTGAAATATCCTGGGCACCTGGTTCTTTCATGTTTTAATATTGTTTGGTTGTTTGTATTTCACTTTTAGGTCCAGGGAAATAGCCTTTGAAGCACAGACTTCACGTTACCTAAATGAATTTGAAGAGCTTGCCATCTTAGGAAAAGGTGGATACGGAAGAGTGTACAAGGTTGTTTTCCACAAATCCGTTTTGAGCTCCTACTCTGAGTAAATGTGTTTTGAGAAGTTGTTCTCATGATTATTTAAAGTGCTCCAGGGGAAGTTCCTAGAAATCATGTGTGCTTACTTTTCACTAAGATTTGTCATTTATAGGGAAGTGGGCAGGTTTTAACTTTTTCCTAACCATGTTGGTGGTTTAGGCAGATTCTGGAAACCACATTAATTTACTTAAAAATGTATCATGGGAGAAAGGTGTGCTTTTGTATTTTGGGCCTCATGTGGTTCTTTTGCTGACATTTCCATTTTTCAGACCTAGAGTCTGTAGGAGTTGGGAGTCTCAGTGCAGTTTGGAAGCTTCTAGTCTAGCTGACTGTGGCTGACTTTCCTGAACATAGTAAAGACACTTGTCTTTCGGTTAATTTTATCTCTTTAGCTAGTTTGGATCTTAAACTCAGGTTAGAATAACTTGCTCTATTCAATTGAATTTAATGGCACAATATACTTTCTCTTTTCCTCTGCTTTTTAGGTCAGGAATAAATTAGATGGTCAGTATTATGCAATTAAAAAAATCCTGATTAATGGTGCAACTAAAACAGATTGTATGAAGGTATGCTTTTTTAAAGTATTTATTTTGAATAATGGGGTATTTAGATCCTTTTGAAAGCGTTATGTGTGTGTGTATTTGGCAAATACTAGGTGTTGTGGATTGCTAAGTTTATTAAAAGTGGGTTACATAAAATAAACATCAAAACCAGATTTTTATTTGACTTAATTTTTAATTTTTTATTTTTAAAAAAAATTTTTTTGAGAGAGCAAGAGAGAGTGAGAGTGTAAATGGCGGAGAGGGGCAGAGGGAGCGGGAGAGAGAGAATCCCAAGCAGGCTCCACGCTCAGCATGGAGCCCAGCGCGGGGCTCGATCTCACAACCTTGAGCTCATGACCTGAGCTGAAATCAAGAGTTGGACGCTTAACTGACTGAGCCACCCAGGTGCCCCCCTCTAAGCCACTTGGGTCTCCTGTCCTTGACATAGTGGTGACAGCAGGACTGGACTTACTAGTAGTATATATGCTGCTGAAGCAAGCCCTGGACTTACTGGGAGGAATGAAATGAGAGAATGAACATAAATGGGCTATGGAAAGTATGAAGCGCTAGATATGTGTAAGTTTGTTGCTATAACAATTCCATTTGTCTCTCAGAAATAGTCTGGTTATTTTAACATAGTTTAGACTCCTTGTTTGGTTGGGTTTTTATTGTTTTGCTCTGGAAGAAGTAGTATTTGATGCCATGTACATTGAACAAGTTGTTAGTGAAAGCCAGATCAAAGTGCGTTTCCTCTTTAGGTCCTGCGGGAGGTGAAGGTGCTAGCAGGCCTTCAGCATCCTAATATCGTAGGCTATCACACTGCTTGGATAGAGCATGTTCACGTGGCCCAAACACAAGGTAAGCCGTTACAGATGGTATGGCTGTCCGGTTGGCAAACTGCGACCCGTGGGCTGAACCCGGCCTGCCCCTGCTTCGTTGCCTCCTGAGAGCTGAGAGTGTTTTCTTACATGTTTAAATAGTTTAAAAGGAATCAAAAGAATACTTTGTGAAAGTTATAGGATATTCAGATTTCATGTCAATGTATGTTAGGACCCAGGCTCATTCATCCGTGTGTTGTCTGTGGCTGATTTTGCACTGCAACAGCTGAACCGAGTAGCTGCACCGAGTCCTGGAAGGCCTGTAAATCATACAGCACTTACTCCCGGCCCTCTACAGAAAGTTTGCCTCCCCCTCACCCCCCAGCGTAGTTGAACGGCTCTGTTTTTATAGTTCCTAAAATGTGCCAGGCATTTGAATAAGCTTGTTGTATCGTATTTTCCTAGAAAGTATTGACATTTTTAGACTTGTGGTCTCATTTGGTGTTATTTTAGCTCTGTCTTCGACCATAAGTTAGAAAGCTAGGCTGCTTGAAGATGGGTTTTTGTTTTTGTTTGTTTTGTTTTGCAGATAGAATTTCTATTCAGCTGCCATCTCTGGAAGTGATCTCAGACGAGGAGGATGACAGGTATGTGGACGGGTGTGTAGTTTGACACGTTAGATGTAACCTGTCACCTACACCAAGTTGTCTTTGTCTTTTTGCTCATTTTCATTACAAAGTGTTAAATGGCTTCTTCCTCTCAGCTAGTTCCTGCCAGTGTTTTCAATAAATGTTGCTGCTAGAGAGATCTGATGCCATGTGCTTCCAGAGTTTACCAGTGAGATTTATGTAGGTGTGAAGGGACAGCTGAGTTACTCTTGATCTTTTTTTTCACATTGATATTTATCTTTACTGTTTTTTTTTTCCCTCCAGAAATCAGCATGTTAAAAATGATGAAAGTAACAGCTCATCCATTATCTTTGCCGAGTTCACCTCAGAAAAAGAAAAGTCTTTAGGAGAATCTGGCATTGACAATCAGAATAACAGATTGGTGAACTGTAGCACCAATTTAATCACAAGAACCGCCTGTGAATTTGAATCATCCAGTTTGCTCCAAGGAAATGGTTTGGCTGATTTGCCTTCCAGATCGATTGTTGAACATCAGCTGCCACTTAGGCATCATTCTGACTTAGAAGAGAATTTCACATCCACCGGGGAATCTTCTGAAAACTTAAGTTTGTCGGGGCAGACAGAGGTAGTTCACTTTCCCAGAACCTACTGATGATTTGATGCTCACCCATAGTCATAGTGTGGAGGACCCATGACTAGATGTGGCCTCCCTTCCAAGCTGACTGTGCACCTTGGCTCCCCCCGCCCCCATCTGTCTTTGTCAGCCTCTCCCTGCCACGTCCGCTTGGCCTGTCTCCCTGGCCTGTGGCCCTTGTGTTGGGTCTTCCATCCTTTGCTTAGTTAACGCCTGCTAATCCTTTTCTGGCCACTTCTGTTTCTTCTCATTTGTGCCCCTGGAGTTGGAAGCACTGTTCACACCGTTTCTGTTGTGTGTTCTTATCATGCTATGCAAATACATTTATGCATAAAGACCTCTATTTTGGAACGTGACTTGAGGAGAGGAGAGATCAGGTCTGTTTTCAGGACACTCTCATTGAGGGTCACATCCATATGCCGGTGAGACTGCCACATGCTCTACCCGGTGTGGAGTCTTAGTGTTAAAAAGGACTTGAATGCTAACAGGGTCTCTGTATAATCTGGCACGCTGGCATTACAGAACTGGATATGCCGTCTGTATATGCGCATGCAGAATTAATTCTTGTTGCCCAGGAATATGTGGCTCCGTGCATGTGCTTTTTATGAGACACAAAACTTTGAACAGAGTCACCTGAATACACAGGAGTTGAATATGAGGGACTTTTCATCAGAACCATTCCATTTCTCCACACTACGTTTAGGACTTTCCTTAGTGCCGAAACACATGCGCTGTCGTGAGCTTAAGTTTTGCTTGCCTTTTCCTTGAACAAGTTATTTATGGACACAGCAAGGCCTCCAAAATGCGCATCTACTTTGAGGTGCTTGGAGAGCAGTAGAGTGGTCCCCAGCCATTCTCTGACGCTGTGTCTGAGCTTTAGAAACTGCACATGGGCGAGCAGACCTGATCGTTTCCGCACCAGGGCCTCAGTGTCACCTTTGGGAGCTTGTCCCGCTCTGCAGCCCAGGCCTCCCCCTGCTCGCTCGCATTCTGATGCACCGTTTGAGGCATTCCTTTCTTCCTCTGTCTCCTTCATGAGACTTTGGGCTTCTTGGGCGGACGTGTGTCTGTCCTCTCTTTCCTGAGCATGTAGCCCCCTGCTTGGCCTAGCGGAGGCAAGTGATACCTATTGACTGAATGAATAATGCAAGTTGTGCCCAGGTGGGAGCCAGCCGTGTTGTCCCCCAGGTGCAGTACCACCTGATGCTGCACATCCAGATGCAGCTGTGCGAGCTCTCGCTGTGGGACTGGATAGTTGAGAGAAACCAGCGGGGCCGGGAGTATGTGGACGAATCTGCATGTGAGTAACAGGTGGATCTTGGAACACTGGGCTGGGAAATGGCGACACCGGCGGATCGTCCGATGTAGGAACTACCTGCAGGTGCTTTAGACTCAGGAAAAAAATCACCTTTTCAAAACAATTGTGTTTATTTCAACATTTTCAAGAACATATAGGTATTTGGAAGTTCATTTTCTCTGAGATAAAGACATAGTTTGTGGATTCCTAAGCAGTAATGTGCTAGAATTTAGGTTGATTTTGGGCATAAAAGGTCTTTTAGAATTTTTTTAAGGAAGAAATTTAAATATTTTATTTTTTAAACCTGACGTGATACTCTTACAAAAAGATACCTTTGAAGAAACCCTTACAGAAGGGTAGGTGGTGAAAAGTTTGTCTCTCTCAAGATTCAGATCCCCTTCCTTCTGCAGGAAAGACTCTGTTACGTTAATAATTTTTTAAATTATTGTAATACTAGTTCTCAACTTGTGCCACATAATTGAATCACCGGAGGAGCTTTAAAAAAGATGTTGATAAGACAGAGTAAGAGAAAAGCAGGTGGAGAAAGCTGACCACCATGACTTTGGCTGAGGTGACTGTGGCTGGTGTTCAAGGTCAGCACCAGCAGTGAAAACTGTTCATAGTGTGACCTTGAGAAGGTGTGATGAGAAGGGCATTGCGTCTCTGGGGTCTTTCTCCCCAGAACCCTTAATGCCAGTCTAATTGTATGAAAACGTCAGACAAATCCCAGCCTAGGTACATTCTATGAAATATCTGACCAGTACTTTCCAAAACTGTCAAGGTCCTTGTAAACAGGAAAAGTGAGGAACTGTCACAGACTGGAGGAGCCTCACGAGACCTGACCACTAAATGTAATGTGGTATCCTGGATGGAGCCCTAGAACAGAGAAAGGACGTTAGATAAAAACTGGGGGAAATGTGAATAAATTGTGGACTTGTATCAGTCTTGGTGCATTAACTGTGACAGACGTACCCTACCAGTGCGGGTGTTAATGATGGGAAACTGGGTGGCGGGTAAGTGGGAACTGTATTATGGTCTCCGTTTCTCTGTAGATCTAAGATTGTTCCAACAAGTAAAGTCTTTCTTTTTTTTTTAAAGGGTGTTGTCAGGGACTGCACCAGCAATTTTTTTTTCTTTAAAGATTTTATTTATTTATTTGACAGAGACATAGCGAGAGGAAACACAAGCAGGGGGAGTGGGAGAGGGAGAAGCAGGCTTCCTGCGGAGCACGGAGCCCGATGCGGGGCTCGATCCCAGGACCCTGGGACCATGACCTGAGCCGAAGGCAGACGCTTAACGACTGAGCCACCCAGGCGCCCCTCAAGTATAGTTTTTTTTTTTTTTTTAAAGATTTTATTTATTTATTTTGAGAGAGAGAATGAGATAGAGAGCACAAGAGGGGAGAGGGTCAGAGGGAGAAGCAGACTCCCTGCTGAGCAGGGAGCCCGATGCGGGACTCGATCCCGGGACTCCAGGATCATGACCTGAGCTGAAGGCAGTCGCTTAACCAACTGAGCCACCCAGGCGCCCTCAAGTATAGTTTTATATCACTTGTCCCCAGCAATCCATATGTGGTAGACCCAGGTTTGAATCCTGGCTCTAGCACTCACTGGCGGTGAGGTTTGGGGCGAGTTGGGTAACTGCTCTCAGCCTCTTTCCTCCGCTGTGAAATGTGGATCATCCCATTTGATAGGGTGTGAGGATTGAAGTACTCCGTGCAAAGGATGCGTTGCTGAGGGAACAGAAGGTGTTCTCACCTGATCGGGCCCTGCTGTTTGGATGTGTTAGGTGGGTTAAAACGAGAACCTGTTACAGACAGACCAGAGGAAGGGAGTTGATCTGAATGGCTGTGAGAGTCCCAAAGCCCTCCATCTGTAGACAAGAGGCTGTCGCTCCAGCGTGAGGGGCATGGTAGCGGCGGCACTTGTAAGTGGGACCGTTGTGTTTATGCACACAGAGACGCAGAGTTTCCTGTCTTCTTAAGTCCTGAGGACTTGAGATCCCTGAGTTACATGCTGGGTGGTGCAGAAGGAGAGTGTGGCTTAGGTGAGCTGCATAGGAAGGTAAGGTAGGCTCATCCAGGAGGAAAGGGAGCACGTTGTATTTCTGTGTTATGTATTTATGGTGTAAAATGGCTGAGGAGACAAGAGCTATTAAGTTTTTATTATGATATCACCAAATTTACTTAGCTGGAAAACGAGGATTTTTTGCTTTAGCAATTTGTTTTAGTTCCTACAAAACTTTCTCACCCCTAAAGTCAGTCATTATATCATTATGTTAATAGATGAATTAAACCATTTACTTGTTTCCCCATTACTTCATTTTTCATTTGTCATTTTTGGAAAATACAGCATTCCAAATCTTCCATATAATGGGAGCTTACTCCTTGAGCTAACATAGTTTATCTTTTTTCTGATTGCATTATTTGTAACAATGTCTTTAATCCACAGTAGGCTTAGGACACCAGATTTATCAGTGTTAAACCCCAGAGTGTCAGGGGTTGAAGGAGATTTAAACCTAGTTTAAACCAGCCATTTTATGCCTGAGAATGGTTTATAAAGTAATACAGGGGTTCTGGGTGAAATTAGTGACACCAAGTCCATTCACTAGGGCACTAAGTTTGTGATGGTTTCTTTGCAGGCTGAGGGGCCCTTCCTGCTTATTTTAAACCATTTAGGTGTGTTGACTTTGTTGAAAATCTGAATTATGTTAATGTATTTAGAACTGTGTAACATTTAGATGTTAATGTAATGAGTAAAAAGAGAAATAAAACTTCCTTTTTCCCTTCAAGGTCCTTATGTCATGGCCAGTGTTGCAACAAAAATTTTTCAAGAATTGGTGGAAGGTGTATTTTACATACATAACATGGGAATTGTACACAGAGATCTGAAGGTAAGTGCTTTGTATCAGGGAGGTTGTGGTGTTGGTTCACTGAGTTAAATGAAATTATATATCCTCTTTCATTTACTTAGGGTGGGGGTTATCATTATTTTTATATGTCATCATCCCATGAGTCCAGAACTTTAGATTGAACTTATTTTATTTTTTTAAAGATTTTATTTGTCAGAGAGAGAGAGAGCACAAGCAGGGAGCAGCAGGCTCGCTGCTGAGCAAGGAACCCGATGTGGGGCTCGATCCCAGGACCCTGGGATCATGACCTGAGCTGAAGGCAGACGCTTCACCAACTGAACCACCCAGGCGCCCCTAGATTGAATTTATTTTATTTTATTTTATTTTAAGATTTTTATTTATTTGACAGAGAGAGAGAGACAGCGAGAAAGGGAACACAAGCAGGGGGAGTGGGAAAGGGAGATGCAGACTCCCCGCTGAGCAGGGAGCCCGATGCGGGCTCGATCCCAGGACCCTGGGATCATGACCTGAGCCGAAGGCAGACGCCCCCCTAGATTGAATTTATTTTATTTATTTATTTTTTTTTTAAAGATTTTATTTATTTATTTGAGAGAGAGAGAATGATAGATAGAGAGCACGAGAGGGAAGAGGGTCAGAGGGAGAAGCAGACTCCCTGCTGAGCAGGGAGCCCAATGCAGGACTCGATCCCGGGACTCCAGGATCATGACCTGAGCCGAAGGCAGTCGCTTAACCAACTGAGCCACCCAGGCGCCTAGATTGAATTTAAAGGCAGTGGTCTTTGGGCATTTGAAAATTCTCTATGGAGGAGTAGTAGTGTTTTTCAGGTAGTGAGTGTGCTATGAATTACTCATATAATAGATGAGGCTCAATGTATTTAATGCTGACAAAAATCCTCATATGTTATTGTAGGCTTAGAGGTAAAATCTGTTTGTACAATTATGTAACTTAAAGGAAATTTAACATGGGAAATTTTTTTCTGCTGTTTAAAAAAAATCTATGATTATTCCAGTTTTTATCCACAAAAGACTATCAAAGAGAGAAAATAGATTTACTTCTTTGGCAGAAGAGGTTTTTTTTTTTTTTTTAAACAATTTTTTTTTTTTAAAGATTTTATTTATTTATTTGACAGAGAGAGAGATAGCGAGAGCAGGAACACAAGCAGGGGGAGTGGGAGAGGGAGAGCAGGCTTCCTGGGGAGCAGGGAGCCCGATGTGGGACTCAATCCCAGGACCCCTGGGACCATGACCTGAGCCGAAGGCAGATGCTTAACGACTGAGCCACCCAGACGCCCTGGCAGAAGAGTTTTAATTTGCTTACTTTTTGAACAAAGAAATTAAGTTGTGAAAAATGTCTTTAAAGGAATATTTGGGAACGAAAAGTTAATGTGCAAATCATTTTATTTTTTGAAAAAAGTTTAAGAACCAGTTTGTACATCTGGGATGTACAACGTGATAAGTTAAGTGTTTTCTGGATACGAGTCTAGCCAGAAAATGTGGTGTGTTACTGAAATTCTATGGCTGGTGAAACTTTGAGGTCCTATTTCAAGAGGTAAGCTAAGTCATAATGACTGTACAGAGAGTTCCAGATCTTCACTGGGAGAAGTTGCTTTAAGTGTTGTTTGTATTTCTCACCATAAATATTTCTGATGTTTCTTTTACAGATGTCCTCTAGGGATAAGGGTTTTTGAGATAACTTTATTAGGGTTTCCCTTAAGAGGTGGAATTCTGGTAGCATGATTCCTGCAGGTAGAACTCCTTGGTTATTGGTCAGTCTCAGAGGATAAGAGCGATAAAGGAGTCTGGCGAGAAGCCCCCTGTCCCTTATATTGGAACTGCGCTGGAGGTACATGTATATCGGAGACTCTCCACTTCTTGTTAGTATGTTAACATTTGCTTCAGATTCAAGCAGGAGGTTGATGATTGCCTCTCTGCCTCCAAAACATGCCTCATGGATAGCTGTTTGACCTTCGTGGTTCTGGGCATTTACTTTGGCTCCATGAATTAGCAGCAAACGGATGCAGCTCACGCCTGCGGCCAGCAGCCGGCCTGCTTTGCTCGATGCGGTGCACACCGCCAGCTTAAGGGCTGTGTTCCCGGTGGAGGCGACGGCGCAGTTAACGTTTGCGCCACAGGCAATCAGCGTTTCCATCATCTCCTTATTCAGTATGTCAGCAGCCATGTGAAGGGGTGTCATGCTGGATTCGTTAATGGCATTGACATGGGCACCATTTTGGGCTAAAATGGAGAGAACCGGATAGGTCCCGTAGGTTATGGCCAGGTGGAGGGGTGACTGTTTGTTGCTGTTGTCCACTCGAGCGTTGACCTGAGCTCCATGTTCGCACAAAATACGGAGACACATCACAGCGTTACTCTGAATGTCTGTCAGGATCCTTTGGATTCTGTTCCCCGGTTTTGTCCACATGGTAGAAGTGATTGGCCAGTGCAGGAGCATCAGGTGGAGCGTGGTGAGGCCTCTTGCGTCCCTAGAATAGTTATTGATCGCAGATTACACTATATTCCCAGTGGAAATGGTTCTACACAAAGAATTAGTACTTAAGAAGGCAATGTTTATTGAAAGTGATTCCCCTCGCCTACTTCTTTGAAGTGTTTGAAAATCTGCATTAGTTTCTCGGGATATCACAGCATTTCGGCGGGGGTGGGGGGGACTCAGGTGCCGTGAGGGTTTTACAATGGCCCTCATGTGCTTCTCTACTGAAATCTCTCAGGGATGCTTCCAAAATTCCTTTATTTTGGCAGAGAAAAGGGTTTATTACAAACATCTGACTGTTCCACTGAAATTTGAAAATGATTTTCAGTTTATGTATATTTATTTAGCATAAGGCCCCATGCTAGGGAAATGGTAAACAGCATGGAGTCCCTGCTTTTGCAGGGCTCGACAGTCTAGCATGAAAGACACAAAACATATTTAAGTAACTAGATCAGTATTGCAAATAGGCAAAATTCTAAGAGGTATGACCACCCTAGAGGGTGTACGGAGGAGCCCCTGTGGAGGAGGGGGGTTGCGTCGGTGATGTCCAGTTGTGGAGGACTGGGAGAGAGTCTGCAGAGCTGGGCAGGGCCATGCGGGGGTAGGGTTCTAGCCAGACAGGCCAGGGGCCTCTTCTGGAGCATGCTGAGAATTTGGGGCTTTACTTTCTGTTAAAGTTATGGGGGCAAGAAGTCGTTTTGTTTTTACACCATGTGATTCTTCCATTCATTAGATCCTATTTATTGGCACTTAGTACCAGGCATCAGTTTAGGTGGTGAAGACGTATTGGTGAACGAGGTAACTACTCTTTCATGAAGTATACTTTCTAATGATGGGTAATAAAAAGAAAATCCATTGTCTATATCTATATACTTATTTTCCATACCTAACTGAGGGTTTTAAGCTCCCTGAGGGCTGTGACCAACACTTCATGCATTTTCTGCAGCATCATTGCTGAGCGCTTAATTCTCAGGATGCTTGAATTGGGCTGACTGGTTTGTGTTTCTGCATTACTGCCAGTTTTTCCGAGTATCTCATCTAGTCAGTAAAGAAATTGGTTCATTCAAGACATGGTCATGGTATTTTGTAGTCCCTACCCCCGAAGAATGGGTGAGTCCAGACATTACCGGGGAGAGTAACATCTAAATCATGCGTATCCTCACTGAGAACTGATCGCTGTTGAGTTAACTTACCTGACTTCTGGGTCGGCACCGTGTTCTAACAAACAAAGCAAACTTTGCGCCTTGCGGTATTCGGCAGCCAGATGAATGGGGATGATGGACTGCATCTGCTTTGGGGGAGAAAGCAGACTACGTTACAAGTAGGCCTGTGCAGTGTCAGCCTGCTGTGTCAGAGGAAATAAGTGTACTTAGTATCTCAGTTCAGTATTTTTCTGGTATGTGCATTGAAATTTTCTTTTTGACTGTTTTAAAAGACCCCAAACCAGTGAGTCATATAAAATCTGTGTTTAACATAAATGCAAATTTACCAATGCAACAGAAATAACTTACGTAAAACTTGGCAAGTTGAATCTTGTGGAGAGTTCATAGTGTAAAAGTAATGGTAATTGCTACAAGGCACTTAGTCCTTAAATTAACCCACAGGGTGATTGACAAGTAGGTTTTGTGTTTTTTAAGACTTTGCCAGAGTCATAGTATTAGTAGTAAAACCTGAATTTCCAGGCTTTCAAAGATAATGCAGCATGTCTTCCATGATGAGCAGAGCTGTTTATTCTGGTTCTTAAAATACATCTCTAATAAGTAGTGACTTTTTACGGCATGACTGCCAGGTAAGGGAAGAAGGCGGAGTAAAGGAGACAGTGACTTTTGGGGAAAAAAATTAAATCTAAAGGTAATAATCATTGTATAAAAATTTAGAAAATGAAAAAGCATATGCAAAAAAGGGGAAAAATGATTCCTTCACACAGATGTAATCACCATTGGTATATTTGAGAGGACGACATTAATGTTCCACCAGCCAAACGGGTTCTTGTCTTTCCGCACGTCAGCGTACGTGGGGCAGTTGGGAGGTGCGCAGGGTGCTGGAGGTGAAGTGTCCCACCGTGGGGGTGGTGGGGACCGTGGGGAGGTTTAATGAGCTCACAGCAGCTAGGTGGTGGACCTTCCGAAGCATGGCGTCTTTTCCCTACAAGTGACAGAGCAGAGGGGAGGGTACCTGGTTCAGAAGTAGTCGGTAGCTGGTGGAGTTGGCCAGAATGGTCATGGGCTGGTTGACGGGGTGGCTTCTCAGGAGCACCTGGATCACCACGCAGTCCTCCCTCATGATGGCCTCGTAGAGTCTGGTGTGGAGGGCGGCAGCTGGGCCTTCTTCCAGGGCCTTGGCACTGTCAGCAACCAGCTCCCTGCTGCCTCTCTTGGTTATGTTTCCCATGAGCAAAACTTAAGAGTGGGGACTTGGAAGTGCAGGGGCCACTTGAGACAGAATTGGTCCATTTCAGTCTCATTATGATCCCTTCAGTTCCATTCTAGAACTGTTCTAGAACTGTTGAGAATCGTATCTGTGAACACGATTCATTTATATCTCAGAGCCAACTTCTTCAGGCTTTGTTCCCAGGTCATACAGTGCCAAATAGAGGCAGGTTTTTTTTTTGTTGCTGTTGTTTTTGTTTTAAGATTTTACTTATTTATTAAAGAGAGAACACGAGCCAGTGGAGGGGCGGCGGGGGGCGGGGGTTGGAGAAACAGGCTCTCAGCTGAGCAGGGAGCCTGATGCGGGACTCGATCCCAGGACCCTGAGATCATGACCTGAGCCGAAGGCAGACGCTTAACCGACTGAGCCACCCAGGCACCCCTTGAAGCACACTTTTTGAGACTTGACTCAATCACAAAAACGTACCCAAATTATCATCTTACACATAAGATTATTTCTGTGTTCTCTTCCATTCAGCTATTTTAAAAAAACAAAGCTAAAACAGAATTTATACATGAAAATAAAAAATTAAAATTATTACATTTAAAGTAAGAAAACCCAACTTTTAACCTAAATATATTTTCGTTTTGAGTGGAAATCCCCCTCCCCGCAGTATGGGTGCATGTTTTTGGTGGCACAGGATTAGTTCCATCGGGAGAAGTTTGGGGTCTGCCCCGGTTGCTTAAATTGGTGCTGAATGCATGCCTTTCATAGGGTGACCTAATTGCCCCTAACCCTGGCGAACATAAAAGAATCATCTAGGAGCTTTTAAAAAAAAAGTTTTCTCATTAAAAAAAAAAAACAGTCTTTGACTTGTTGGAGAGGACAGTAGTTTTTCAAAGCTTCTCAGGGGATTCTGACGCCCAGTCAGGGCCGAGGAGCACTTGTGTACAAGGTATGCTCTGCCAGAGGTAGTGGTTCTCAAACTTGGAGTAACGTGGGGACCTTTACATAACACTGCTGCCAGTGTCCACTGCCAAGAATTCTGACTCTCTTGGTCTGTGGAAGGGCTTGGAGCTCCCCTGCTGGTTCTGATGTGCAGCCAAGTTTTAGAACCTCTGCTCTGATTTTTAATTTGTGAGGGGCTACTTGTTCCTGAGTTGAAAACTTTTTTTTCCCCAAAGATTTTATTTATTTATTTGGCAGAGAGACACAGCGAGAGAGGGAACACAAGCAGGGGGAGTGGGAGAGGGAGAAGCAGGCTTCCCGCGGAGCAGGGAGCCCGACGTGGGGCTCCATCCCAGGACCCTGGGACTATGACCTGAGCCGAAGGCAGACGCTTAACGACTGAGCCACCCAAGCACCCCTATTATTATTATTTTTAAAGATTTTATTTATTTGACACAGTGAGAGAGCACAGCTGGGGGAACGGCAGGCAGAGGCAGAGGGAGAAGAAGGCTTTCCGCTGAGCAGGGAGCCTGATGCGGGGCTCAATCCCAGGACCCTGGGATCATGACCTGAGCCGAAGGCAGACGCTTAATGACTGAGCCACCCAGGCGCCCCCTGAGTTGAAATCTCTCAATTAACATCTACACATGTTTACTGTTTTAAGAACACTAAGGAGTTGTTCTTGTTTGTTTACAGCCCAGAAATATTTTTCTTCATGGCTCTGATCAGCAAGTAAAAATAGGAGACTTTGGTCTGGCCTGCACGGATATCATACAGAAGAACACAGACTGGATCGATAGAGATGGGAAGAGTAAGTTTATTCTGGTTCTTCTCTTTTCTTTGCTCTTTTGGCGTTAAGACGAAAAGAAACATGATTGAACTTGTCAATATTTAAAGAGACTCATAAAGACTTAATGTAATCGCAAAGGAAAGATAAAGACAAAAAGCAACCATCGTCCCCACAGTACCCTGCTCAGAGCCCGTGTTCTTTCGTGTGGACAGTGGGAACCCTGCAGTGTTTCATATTTGGCTTTTCACATTACAGGGACGCGCACACACACGTCCAGAGTGGGTACTTGCCTGTACGCTTCTCCTGAGCAGTTGGAAGGATCCGAGTATGATGCCAAGGTAGTATTTGCTGCTTTTCCCCCTTTTGCTGGACTTGCTCTGCTGTCCTAAGTAACAAAAAGCATAGTAAATGCAGTGGAAGTTCTCGTGTTGGTGTTTTTGGAGGTAACAGAGTAGGGTCGGTTGTCTGTTACATGAAATTGCCATTAACAGGAAACCTCACTTTTTACCTAAATCTGACTATACCGATTTTCAGGCTATTTTAACACCTATTTTTTTTTTTTTTTTAAGATTTTATTTATCTGAGAGAGCGAGCATGAGAGGGGTGAGGGTTAGAGGGAGAAGCAGACCCTCCACCGAGCAGGGAGCCTGATGTGGGACTTGATTTCAGGACTCCAGGATCATGACCTGAGTGGAAGGCAGTCGCTTAACCAGCTGAGCCACCCAGGCGCCCCTACTTTACCACTTCTAAATCTATGGGTGTCCTAAATTATTTTTGAAATGAGCTTTCCTTTTAAAATGTCACAGTTCGGGCGCCTGGGTGGCTCAGTCGTTAAGTGTCTGTCTTTGGCTCAGGTCATGATCCCAGGGTCCTAGGATCGAGTCCCACATCAGGCTCCCTGCTCAGCGGGAAGCCTGCTTCTCCCTCTCCCACTCCCCCTGCTTGTGTTCCCTCTCTCGCTGTGTCTGTCTCTGTCAAATAAATAAATAAAATCTTTAAAAAAATATATAAAGATTTATTTATTAAAAAAAATAAAATGTCACAGTTCACATCAGGAAGCTAGAATTCATAGAAGCCTGTTTCAGCCTGTCTTTCTTCTGTTTTCGTAAACACATGCTAACTAATGCTACAAGGAAGTGTGGCACTTGACTCCCTTTGAGGTAGAGTGAAGATACTGAAAAGGTCTTATCCGTTTTGTTCCTTGAAGGAATGTTAAGCGAAATCCTTTTCTCAAAGTAACAGACTAGTAAATTTTCGTCCTTTTGATGAATCATTCAGCTTTTTAGTGACTGGGCGTGAACTGGCAGAAAGAGACCATGGCTCTTCCTCAAATCCTACCTGGTTAAAGGCCTTCCTCGAAAAACGATTTCAGGAAAAGTAACACAGATTTTATGAAGTTGCTTAAACTTTACCAGAAAGCTTCGCTGTGTGTGGAGGCAGAGGGGAGCAGGCCGCAGGGACGCTGACCCCTGTAGCTGGCCCCAGCACGTGTGAGCTCCTGTCTCTCGCTCAGGCTGCTCCACGCCCGGATTTTCAGGGAGTGCTGGGGTCACTGGTATGGTAGTGACTGTGGATGGGGCTGAAGGGGTCTCCCTGCCCCTCACCCGGCTGGCATTTGTGGCCGTGGATGCCCCTTAGTTTGGAAGAGATGGGGATTGTGACGGTACCAGACAGCTCTCCCTCAGGGCCATGATTCTAGGTGGCAGAAACTTGTCTCTGCGAGGGGTAAGTTGCCCACTGTGTGCCCTGCATCGTAGGGTCTGTAAATTGGCTTGTCTTAGAAATCTTCTTGTGTTTGAGAGGATGGTGATGTTAATCTCCCTTTGTGTTTCACTACTAATTACCTCTCTCCTGCTTTTCCAGTCAGATATGTATAGCTTGGGTGTGATCCTGCTAGAGCTCTTTCAGCCGTTTGGAACAGAAATGGAGCGAGTACACGTTTTAACTGGTTTAAGAAGTGGTCAGATACCTGAATCCCTCAGTAAGAGGTGTCCCGTGCAAGCCAAGTATATCCAGCACTTAACTAGAAGGAATGCATCTCAGAGACCCTCTGCTGTTCAGCTGCTGCAGAGCGAACTTTTCCAAAATTCTGGAAATGTATGTACATGTATTTTTTTTCTTTCTTTCGTTCTTTTTTTTTTTTTGTAATCTCTCCACCCAAACTCACGAATCCCAAGATCAAGAGTCACATGCTCCACGGACTGAGCCAGCCAGGAGCCCCAGTTGAGCTTAGAATAATGTTTATGGAAACCAGATTAAACTCATTCTCAGAGTTCCCAGAAGCACAGTCTTCATAGTCCAAGTAAGCAAGGTGACCACGGCCAGTGTCTAAAAGTTGTAATTATAAAGGCTCTACTTTCTAGCCTCCTCTTGCTAAGTCAAAAGACTTTAGTTTTCCTTTCTGACTAGGAAATACAACCTTTTATAAAACACTACAACATATCTACTAGTAAAAAGGGGCACATACCAGAGAGTAAAAGCAGGAAATCTTGGGGGGAGCTGGAGTGACGGTGGCAGAGACCACCTCAGCCCGTCTGCGGTCCTTCAGCATTCAAGTGTGTGATTCTGGTTTTCAGTCCTGTGATGTGCGATGGGCCCCAGGGCAGCCCCTTCCTCCCCTCCTTCCAGACCCGTTGTTACCGTGCCAAGTACCACGTCCAGTCTACAAGTACTGGAAACACGATTCATCCATTCTGTTCCTCCAGAAACTTTCTGAGATTTAACAAAAGCTTGATTCAAAGATATATTCACAGATCCCCTAGTGCTCTGCTACTGCAAGTGTAGTCCCCAGACCAGCAGCATCAGCATTACCTGGGGGCTTGTGAGAAGTATAGGGTCTTGGGCTCCACTCCAGACATACCAGGTCAGAATCTGCGTTTAACAAGATCCCCACATTATTTGCCTCCACAGCGTGTGAGCGGCATTGCATTAGATGCACTGGTCCTTAGAGTATAGTCTCCAGGCCAGCAGCATAAAATCCTCAGGAACCTGATGGAATTCTCAGGCCCTCTCAGCTGCTCAGACCTATTAAGGGAGAAGTCTGGGTGGGGGGAGGGGCTGCAGCCAGCCTGTGTGTAGCAGATACCCGAAGTCGTGATGATGCACACCGGTCAGTGTGCTATTTGTAGTAACTGTTCCGTTGATTTATTTTCTGTTTAAGGCTTACTAAGTTTCAGGTAAAACAGTGAATTTTACTAGCTTGAATGGTAAACAGATAGGTGTAGTACTTTTCTGAGTCTTTGGAAACAGCAGATGTGGTGATTAAATTTATCTCTTTTCTGCGGAAGGGATTTTCTAACTCCCAGTTAAGTTAGCTATTAGAGACCGTAGTTATTTGGCATTTATGGTATTTCTCTTGTAGAATTTTTTATATAATAGCCTTCACATGCCTACAGAGAGAAAACTTGTGTGGACAGGCAGTCTTTGGTTTGCATGGCCGTTCGTACAGGACTGTGAAAATGACTGCTGAGCTCAGACCACGCAAGGGGATCTTAGTAATCCACGGGAAGTTATGATTGTCCTGTGACCTTTACAAATGTTTCTCGAAACATTAAAAACTCTGTCAGTTGCAGAGGTATGTGGAAATGAAGCAAGTTGTAAAACTATTTATTTACGTGTTCAAGAGTGGTTTGAACAGTGCCTGCCTGCATCTCACCATAGAACTTAGGATACAGAGTGAGCTTCTTTTCTGTGCCGTGGTGAACTGTACACTCCTAGGTTTGGATCAGCGGCCAAGTATCCTTTGCACTTTCGAAGTTGTGAGAGATCTCCAAGAGTTTTTTGTTTTTGTTTTTTTTTTAATTTTATTATGTTAATCACCATATATCACATTGTTAGTTTTTGATGTAGTGTTCCATGATTCATTGTTTGTGTATAACACCCAGTGCTCCATGCAGTACGTGCCCTCCTTAATACCCATCACTGGGTTAACCTATCCTCCCACCCCCCTCCCCTCTAGAGCCCTCAGTTTGTTTTGGGTGTACAGCATGTTTTTTTTTATTGTTAGTCACCATACGTCACATCGTTAGTTTTTTTTTTTTAAAGAGTCTTTTTTTTTTAAGATTTTATTTATTTATTTGAGAGAGAGAGAGAATGAGAGATAGAAAGCACAAGAGGGAAGAGGGTCAGAGGGAGAAGCAGACTCCCCGCTGAGCAGGAAGCCCGATGTGGGACTCGATCCCAGGACTCCAGGATCATGACCTGAGCCGAAGGCAGTCGCTTAACCAACTGAGCCACCCAGGCGCCCACATCGTTAGTTTTTGATGTAGTGTTCCGTGATTGAGTGCATATAACACCCAGTGCTCCATGCAGTACGTGCCCTCCTTAATACCCATCACCAGGCCAACCCATCCCCCCATGCCCTGAGAGTTCTTTCAATGGGAATTTTGCTGGTGTCACTTTCTCTGGGACATCTTCATCCTTTTCCTCATTTCTGCTAAGTCCTCTTTGCCCGGTCCTGGGGCTGCACACCCCTGTGCCTGGTGGCGGCGGGAGCAACACCCAGCGGCTGGCTGTTTCTTCTCTGACACCACGTGGTGTGATTTGATTCAGTTGCCGGCGTCCATACTTTTCATTAGCTTGCTGCACTTCCATCTTTGCTGGCCAGTTCCATGTGTCAGGACACATGGAGGCAACACAACACACACATGGCCTGGTGTGTGCCGTGAGCCAGGTGATGACTGGCCCCTGGTGGTGACAGGCATCATGGGCTGAGGTGCTGACAGTTAGTTATGGAGCCGGGCGATCCGATGCTGGCGTGGCTCCATCAGCTGTGGGCACTGGGATTCAGGCGTATCGTGCAAAGGGAGGTTGGCCTGTGTGTTTAAGATGGAAGAGGCCATTTTAATGGAATTTCTCTTGACAGGTTAATCTCACCCTACAGATGAAAATACTGGAGCAAGAAAAAGAAATCGAAGAACTAAAGAAGCAGCTGAGTCTCCTTTCTCAGGACAAAGGGGCCAAGGATGACATGAAAGATGGGGGTGTTCCTGTCCTGCCTTAATTAGACTCTGTAAATGTGAATGTGGACTTCTAATTCTTGAAATAGTCAACTGGAATGTAAATTTTGTCTTTGTTAGGGTATAGACGGTATAGTTCTATTTAGTGAGCCTGGACAAGACTTTTAAGTTGTAGAAGTTCCCCCAAACTGTTTCCTTAAGGAATTCTTTTATGATCCAGCACTTTGAACTGAAACCTGCTCTAAACTAAAGCTATTTTGGGGCGCCTGGGTGGCTCAGTCAGTTGAGCGACTGCCTTCGGCTCAGGTCATGATCCCAGGGTCCTGGGGTCAAGCCCCGCATCGGGCTTCCTGCTCGGCGGGGAGCCTGCTTCTCCCTCTACCTCTGTCTGCCGCTCTGCCTACTTGTGCTGTTAAATAAATACAAATCTTAAAAAAAAAAAAAAATTAAACCTATTTTGCTCTTTTCCTTCTTGTATCCCATAGACTCATAATTTTTACTATCACTGTCTAGTCTCTGACTTAGGCAACATCCTCACTTCTTTCTCCTTGAACTCTGCCTGTTGACCACGTAGCCCTCCCCTAGAATGTTCTACCGCACAGATCCAGGTATGCGCCCCTACCCCGTCACTGCCCAAGCCCAGGCCTGCATGTTCGCTGGACTGTTCCAGTTGTGACAGCTGCGTGTTAGTTACCAGAAAGACATCTGATGAGTTCACTCCCTGGCTCAAAAGCTGGCTCTTTGTTGCCCGAGATACAACTTCATCTCAGCAGTGCAGCGTACATCATCCAACCTTTCTGTTCTCTTCACCTTCAGCTTGGCATCACTTCAGAATCATGCCCTTTCTAAGCTTTGTGCCTCTTGCCCCCAAATCATCTAAATCATCTCAAAGTAGCTCTGGTGGGACTGTTTTCCCTCCTGTACTGTTCCCACGGTGTCCCCTTTATTCAGCACTCAACTCCCCACCAACCTATGTTCCTTAAAGGCCCCAATGGGATATGTTCATTTTTGTATCTAAAAAATATGTCTGCCACGTTGCTGGCTGGTGTCCTAGTATACTGCCCATGACGTGGCTGAATTTTAAATAAAGCGAAACCCACAAATTACATGATGCCTTTATTGATTCTAGGCAACTGGCTGAAATAGACTGATTTTAGTACAAGTTCCTTCACCCACAACAGGCATGAAACAGCACTGTTGAAGTCAACCTTTTACAGTTACTGAAATTCACTTGAGGAGCTTGAGGGCCGTGTTGAAGGGGGCCAGGTTCTCGCAGGCCCTCATCCATTTCTGCACGTTGGCCGGCACGGTCCCACCACAGCCTCCTGCCTGCTGCAGCACCGACCAAAGAACCACATCAGCCACGGTGAGTTCATTCCCAACAAGCCAGGGGCTCTTCCCAAGAGCGGAGTTCATGGAGCGGAACACGGCGGCTTTCTCTTTACTGCTTCCCTCTTTGAGCTGAAAGATCGCTATATCCACCCAGCTATCTATGAGGGTTAGAGTTACAGCGTCCTGCTTCTGGCCAAACAGAGAGAACAGGAACCGTGCAATGTTCCCTTCTCCTTCGATGGGACACATTGTTTGGACGCTGAACTTCATCTGAGTCTTCGGCACTGAAAGGCAAGAAGCACACGGTGTATGGTAACGCGAGCGTCCCCGGGAAGAAGGGCTTCAGCAACAAAGGGGAGCGGGGAGTCGCTGGTCACCGGGAACTGGTGGCAAGGGAAAGAATTTTCACAAACATGTTTTGTCTGTCTCCAAGACATGTATGATTAAGAAAGTTTACACTGGATGTTTACAGAATGCAAACTCTATGTTAAAAAAAAGTAACCATTTCTGGTATTTGATTAGGACCGTTTTCAAGCAAGAAGGGACCTCAGACCATCTTTTCCAACCCCTGTGCTTCAGAATTTGCAGGATGACTGGAAACCAGGAATCCCTCTCTACCCTCACAAGGTTCATCTATGCTCCTTTTCCAGAATTACCCCACACGCTTCCTAGACTCTTAGGGAATTTGACCTGACGGCAAGTAGCCAAAGAACGTCACGGTCCTGGCCCCTTGCTGCCTCTCACTGAAGTCAGGGGGCCCGTCTCATTCCAGAGCCTATGAGTGCAGCCAGTGCCCTCTGCTTACCATTCTTCCAAATCAGAGTAAAACCCAGCTGATACTCGTGACGGGGCTGTTTTTTAGACTGCTCGCCAAAGCACTTGAGGAGGTGTTCTGGCACACTCTTGACTGCGGAGTGCGTGTGAACGGTGGACAGGACCCTGTAGTGGTCACACAGCAGCCTGTGCAGCACGAGCAGGGACAGGGGAGGGGAGGCGGGGTTCGCGTTGATCACGATGTCTTTCAGTGCCCCGTAATCCTGCGGGGAGAAAACCCAAACAGCGAGTACCTTGAACAGCCACTTGAGTGTGTGAAGTTGTACCCGGAGCTGTTCTTAGGGCCTAACCAGGGTTGCTGAACAGAATCCTCAATGCCCACTATCACCCCACCTCCCAGCTGAGGAAGCTCGTCCTGGAGAGACAAATAACCTGCCCAAGCTCACTGTGCTCAGGAAGAAGTGCAGCAGGGACGTGAGCTGACTCCCACCCCTTAACCTCTGCACTGCTGGCCCCCGCCACATAAAAGGTTGACTTAGCTGTGAAGTTAGTAAAACAACACATTAAGAATGACGCTATTTGTTCCTAAGTTATTAAAAAAGAAAACCACACATGCAGTCACTCCATCTACCAAATCTTTCCAACACCTGACCACCTGACAGGATAGTTTCTACATCAGTTTGTGTGTGAGTTACACACACTGTGGGTCAATGAAGCATCCCCTAAGGACCTTGGCTCAACATGTCATTGGTGATGGCAAGTGGGCAAAGTCTAAAAAACTAGGTGTTAACTAAAGGACTAAAACGTACTGCCCTCGTAGATGCAGACTTTTTTTTATACTTTCGCTCTTAATAACGAATTCCTTAATACCATGGAGGCCAAACTCAAATTCCTTGACTTTCTGTACACAGCCCACCACGATCGGACTAGGGGTCTCACCACTCCTGACTAAAGCCCGTCACATCAACCTATGATGAATGCTTTGCAATTCTCTGAACATAGCATCACTCAACGCTGTGCATTCTGAGGTATCAAAATTCACTGTAAGCAACATGTGCCCCGGGACACCCCCCCAGCACCTGAGACACTGGCACAGCTGTGCGTGATCACCAACTTGTCAACTAGACTGGCTCCCTGGGGGCCTGGCCGGGTCTCTGCGTCCTCGGTGCAGGCAAATGTACCGGGTGATAAAAGAACCTAAGTGCAGAGGTGCCGAGGTCACCTGGGAGACCCTGCAACCCCGCCTCCACATGTTAGGTCTTCACGGAGGAGCACTTCTACCCCACCAACTCCAGAGAATTCTTGGGACAAACCCTTTTGTACTCTCAATAATACCACTTAGAAACAAGACATTCTTTTTTGCATGTCAGACTGTCACCTAAATTAGCTGAAGCCTGCAGACTGATCTTTAAAGCTGGCAGATGCAAAAGACTGCAAACCGAATGTAGCAAAAGACACTTGATCCATGAGGCTGTGCCTGGGCGGCCAACGCTCTGAGATTCAGGCTGCTCTCAGTCAGGATGGACTCGCTGAGCCTGAGAAGCACTGAGCTGACACTGGTCTGTTTGTCCCGGCTCAGAAGCTGCTAGAGTGACGCCCATCTCTGGCATGCGTCACACACCGCCTCAAATGGTGGGGAGTTGTAACTCGACTCCTATCCCTGCCTAGGGATCCTCCCAACTCTTCTCCACCCAACTCTTCTCCACCCAACTCTTCTCCACCAGGTCTGAGAAGTCAAGCGGCTTTAGAACTTGCTTTGGCTTCACTCATAGCTCATGAATCTATTCGGTGCAAAGGCACAATCATTTAGGGGAGGAAAAAAGAACATGCTCTTTGTACCACCTTTGAGAACTAGAAAACCAAAGCTTGAATCACAGGAGCATGATTTTCTGGCACTAAAAACCACCTAGCCACTGATGTTCTTTAGCGCGCTCCAGATGAGCTCACCTTTCCGAGCACTGAATTTAAGTCCAATGCACTGGTCGAGAAAGTGGGCTCATCAGCTTGGATTATGTTGGTTACATCCACATCTGCATCTGGTGTCTGAATCATCTTGGAAAGGCCATCAACTGCAGCCTTCAGTTCATACAGACGTTTTAAAATATCATCTTGGCGGGACTCAAGAGCTTGAAGAGATGGGTCAGACTCTTCCTAAACAAACCAACATTGAAACGTTCATTTCCTCTAACATCACAGCAACGTTTAAATTTGATCACTTCTATTGAATTCTATAAATTCATCAAACCCCCCACCTCTGAAAAGATACTAAAACGAAGCAGCAGAATCATCTTGGTTTTCCCACAGTCCAAGAGGTGCTGCAAACTGATCCACAAATGCTTTAAAACAAAAAAAAAGTGACTGAAAGCCATTTTGAAGTTGTAGGACTCCTATTTAAGAATGGAGCATGGAAAATGAACCCAAATCATTGTTCTTTGTTCTTAATGCCAAATTAGTTCAAAATACTTTGCTTATTTAACAAATAGAAAAAGATGGGGGGGCAGTGAGAATGTAACTCAGCAATTTATACTAATAGAAGGGAAATGGGGACCACAAGGAGGTTGAACAAATGTGTCATTTGACTTGGAAAGGTAAGTCCATGGGGTCAGAAGATCAATTCCCCACGTCATTCTCAACGCAATACTGGCCCTCTCGTATCTTAGAATCATCCAGAACTTTTTCACTGCTGAAATGTAGAACTTCCTAAGTATGGAATGCTTATGTCCTTCGTTCACTGAATCTTTGCATCTTTCTTGGTATACTGACTGCTACAAAATAAGTAACCAATAATATTTGCTGAGGAAAAAATCTCAAATCTCTGTTACAGACTTACTTTAAAAAGCACTAACAAGAACCCTCTCGATAAAGTCACAATGTACAACCTATTTCCAGATTCATGAGCTCTCGTAACGGATAATCCATTTTGAGCCCAGAGAAGAATATGTTAAGTCCTAACTAGGCAGAACAGTCCATATGGCAGGGACCTTGAGTTGTCTGTAAATATGCTGGAATAGCTATGTGCTGGGAAGCTGGATGTCACACAACACTGCCCTTTCACAGACTCAATTCATCACCAAGTGCTGTCCATTTTCTGGAATCCACTGGCTTCAAAAGCTTGCCTCCACTGTCACTGCCCAAGTTCAAGACACCACTTTTCATCTGGTCTGCTTCCACTGGCCACCCCTCCAAACCACCCCTAAAGCGGCAGCTGGGGAGATTAAAACAAATATGGATCCCATCCCCCACCTCCATGTTAACCTAGCAGGCTCTTCGCCTAAAAGGCAAAGCCCCTAACCTGGCTGGAGAAACAGCCTGTATGACCTGTCCTCTGGCCATCTCCTCTCACACAGCGCTGCCCACTAGCTGTGCTGTCCTTTGGGTCCCTAAAACACACCATGTCCCCACCTGCCACGGGGCTTTTATTCTGTTCCCTCTATCTGCGACATTCCTCCCTCTTCTCCTAGAGTTTAATCTGCACTTTCTCACCTCCCCTAGCCTGCCGCTCAAACAGCAGACATGAAGATGACTGACCTGTGGGTGGAGCAAAGAAGCATAAAGACTTCAGTGTGCCAAGGAAATAATTAGGTGCTGACTGGAATAAGTCTGAACGCAAAATGTGACAGGCAGGGGTACTAGTGTGCAGTATCCTTCTATTCCTCAGTGATAGTCCTCAAGGAGCATTCTAGTCACTTCTAGCCAGCCTGATTTGTGCCTTGTGTGTGCAAGAGCTTGCTCAGTTCTACAAATGGCAGTAGGGCCCCTGATGTACCCGGGCAAGGAAGTGCCTACTGGATTCCACGCCCGAGTCAACACAGTAAACAATGCCTGAAACAAATGCATTCCTACCGTGGCCTGTGACTGGGAGCCCCATACAGCTTGATTTTACCTGTCTTGATGTGAGAAATGAGGAAATGCTCAAGATCTGCTTTCCCTTGCTTTCCTGCTCAGATTAGATCGTGACTTGGCATATTCTGTTCATCCATTTTATCTTATATGTATTTTAGAAGCAGTTTATTCTTTGTGTTGCTCCTATTTGCCTTTAATATGCTTGCTTTCTAATTATCTACATTGTTATCGTCTGCTAACCAAGTGGGCCTGGGTGTCTTCTAGAAGTTCACAGTTGACAGGCCGAGTTAAGCAGCACACCAAAAAAAAAAAAAAAAAAAAAAAGGTCTCAAATGAGATGTGATATTTCCAACTCTGGGTCTGGGTTTTGTTTTCAGTTCTCTGAGACTGCCCAGTTGAGCGGCACTGGATCATCGTGCTATTTCTGTCTTAGCTCCCTAGTGAGACAACAACTGTATCATTGTTTGCCAACTAACCCAACCACCTGCCTTCCAATCTACGAAGAAGACTTAAGACAAAGTGAAGGAGGGCCGCCTGGGTGGTTCAGCCAGGCCTCCAACTCTTGATCTCAGCTCAAGTGTTGGTCTAGAGTTGTGATTTGAAGCCCTGCATCGGGATCCACACTGGGCCTGGAGTCTACTTAAATCGAAGTAAAGGATAATACCCCAAGGGAAAATGGACTACAAAAGTTACCTGTTCCCTCTTCAGCCAGAACAGACCTAAGGTTGTAAACCCAAGACGTGTATTTGCAGCCAATAAAAATTGGGGCTTGGGGAGAGCCCAGGGGGCTCAATCGGTTAAGCGTCTGCCTTCAGCTCAGCTTGGGTCATGATCTCAGGGTCCTGGGATCCAGCCCCACGTCGGGTTCCCTGCTCAGCGGGGTGCCTGCTTCTCTCTCTCCTTCTGCCTGTCACTCCCCCTGCTTGTGCTCTAATAAATAATATCTCTAAAAAAAAAACAAAAAACAAAACCCAGACAGACTTGGGCAGACACTTTACAAAAGAAACAAGGCGCTCCACTGATTCCTAAGTCTGGAAAACCTGACCTAAAACTACATGAGGCTCCTACCGTCCACCCACCAGCTTTGGGGAGGGTGCAAGCACCAGGAATACCGTGCCCACGGCTGAGGAGCACACAAACTTGCACACACGCCGCTCTGGGAAGTGGTTTACCTGGTTCAGGTGAAGACGGCAATCCCAACCCCCCAGCCCCCCGTGCACGCCCCAGGCCAGCTCGTGCACGGGAGCGCCCGCTGCAGCACTACTCGCCGCAGCACCGACGCAGACCGGCCCGCAGAGGCGCCGGGAGCCAGGTCAGCGGAAGGCAGCCCGACACAGCGGGGCGCACGACGCAGACTCAGGACACACTGACCGGGGAAGCCGGGCACTCGGGGCGCTGACAACGTCCTGTTACCCTGGGTAGCAGGGGTGACAATGGGGTTCGCTTTAGAGTTCCTCACAATTAGCATTTACGTGCCCCTCACTTTTCTGTGCCTACAATTTGGTAGAAAAGCTTTGGTAGCCATAAGCGGAAAAATAAATAGATAAAAGAGAAATAGTTCTTTTAATAAACACAGCGCGCACACGGAATCAGCGGGAGCGTGGGGCCGGGTTGCTGCAGCCAGGTCGGATCCCAGGGTTCGAGTCTCCCAACCCCACGGGCCAGGCCACGGCGCCTGCGCACTGGACGGAAGGCGGGCGGGTGGGGGCGGGGCGGGCCGCGCGCTCCTACCTGCACGTGGCCTGCGTCCGGCGCGGGGCCGCCTGTCCTGCCGTGCACGTTGGGGAGCTGGTACATGCAGGTGGGAAGCTCTACACGGAGAGACGCGCTGCCCCCGTGATAGGGCTTTACCTGGTACATCGGCATCGTGGGAGCCGAAGGACGGAAGGTGGCAGGTGAGGGACACGAACGCTCAGAAACCGTCCGAGACCACAAGAGACTGCGGCCACCTTCTTTCCGATCCGGCTGCGGCCTTTCGGGAAAGCAAAGTCCGTGTGGTCTAATTGGCCCGCGCCCTCTGGACGTCACGGCCTCGACTTTTTACACAACCAATCGGCAAGAAGGAGGAGTGGGAAGCGCCGGCTGTCCCATCCGGAAGGGGCGGGGCACAGTGTCGGAAGCAGCCAATGGGCGGCAGGGAGGCAGAGCCTCCGTGGGAGCGGCGGCGGGAACTGTTCCGAGTCCCGGAGGCGGGTCAGGTTCTGGATCCATGGAGCGGGCGGAAGGGCCGAGGTGAGCGGTGCGTGCAGTGTCCCCTCGCGGTCGCCCTCCCTGAGGCCCACGGCGTTCCAGACCCCGGGAAGGGAGGGGAAGGAGACCGCGGCGCTGGGCGAGCCCGCGTGGAGGCCCCGGAGCGGGCTCCTCGGCGCTCCCCGGACCCGCTGTCCTTTAGGGGCGCTTTACGGTCGGGGTGGGCGGGGGGATCCGTCCCGCTCCCAGGCAGGCTCTGCCCAGACCTCTGGACGCGTCCGTGGACTGGCAGCCGGAGCACGACATCCCACGAAACTGAACTCCTTTCCTTTCTACCTGGTTTCTTTCTCTTTTCTTTTATTTGAAAATTGAGGTTATTTGGGGGAGGCTTCAAGGCACATGCTAATTTGCATAGCCTCACAGTTTTTAAAAAATGCAGAACTTTTGCATCCCCTTGAGTATGTCACTGCTTGCTGGTAACCCAGTTCGGAGGGGCGAATCTCCGGCTAGCCCTGCTGCGTTCAGTGTCAGGTTCCTGAACTCAAATTCGCTGTCCGTGTGTTTAAATGTTTCATCCCCCGTCCTCAAAATAAATATTGGAAGTGGATTTGTGGCCTATGGTGTATTGCCAAATAAGTAAGTGTCAGAGAAACTTCTTTCCATTTTGTGTTGTCATCTGCAGTTTTCTCATGTAAGAAGAACCTGAATGAAATTTTTTGCAAGGTAGAACGAAGAGTAAAGATGTTTGTTGCTTATTTTATAAGGGTTTATTGAGGGTCTGCTGTGTGTTAGCAGTTGTGGGAGGCTACCCAAAGATTTCTCTCGCAGGGAGGCTCCTGGGTTCTATTAAACCCACATTACCAATTAAGCCCCTAAAAGAAATTGCTAAATTAATGAACATAAGGAATGCATTCTTGGGATGAGCAGGAGTTTGCCAGGCAGAGGAGGAAGAGGGGAACGGTCTAGACAGACCTGTATAGACAAGGTGCAGTGTCTAAAAGAGTTTGCGATATTCAGGAAACAGTTTGCTGTGACTAGAATATAGGTAAAATTGGTGAATGGAGGATTGGAGAGAAAGAAAAGTAGACTGGGGTCTGGTTTTTCATATGACTAGATTTTCATATAGCAGACAGTGGATGCTAGATTTTTTTTCCCTGAAGTCTGTTTTTTTTAGTATTCTCTGCACCCAATATGGGGCTCAAACCCAGGACCCCGATATCAGGAGTCCCATGTTCCTCCAAATGATCCAGCCAGGCACCCCTATGCTAGTAGATTTTTTAAGCAAAGAAGTTATTTGTCCAGATTTGTGATTTCTAAAGTAACTGGTGGTAGCATGGAGGGTGGTTTGGAATAGGGAGAAAGTAGAAACAAATTGGTTGTGTAACTCTTAAAGTAGGTACAGCAAGAACTTTAGGGGTTTTAGCCAAAACGGCAGTTAATGGCCTGGATTTGGAAGGGAGATTCAAAGGCTCCTGTGGAAATAGTTATGTAACAGGTACCCAATTTCTAAGATGATTTTGATTTTCACATAAACACTGTGTATTTCCTACCATACCCTTGGGTTTTCAAATCATGTGAAAAGTGTTGCTTTTGCTTTTCAGAAGAAGATCCCACTGTTGCCAAAGATTATTGGCCCATAGGTTGAGGGGTACATGTGTTTCGTAGATCCCAGCATAATTAAATTTCTAAATATCCATTGCATTGGAAGTATCTATTCAGAAGATTTTTTTGACAAAAGTGTAAGGCTAGGACAACCTTTATATTTGTGAATGTAATCGATGGATATGTTAATCTAATAAACGAATGCATTGGACACATTAACTATTAACAGAGATGAATCATTTCCTGCAGTTAAAACCAGGATGAAAATACATAGTAAATGCATGCTCACTTTGTTTCTTGTAACTGGTGTCTTTAGTACAGAACTTGCTAAGGCCATCAAACCTATCGATCAGAAGTCAGTCCATCAGATTTGTTCTGGACAGGTGGTACTCAGTCTAAGTACTGCTGTGAAGGAGTTGGTTGAAAATAGTGTGGATGCCGGAGCCACTACTATTGGTAAGTTTGGGAGAGTTTTAAGCCACAGGGAATCATCAATTTATACTCTTATTCAAGAAACCCTTGTGATTGTAATGAGACAATCAAATGTTGGTATACTGAGAAATTTTATTTTTTAAACTTAAATTTAGCATCTCTTAGGTACCTAATACTTAGGTAGATAGTAGTAATAATAAAAGCAGTTAACTTTTATCATGTTCTTACTAATGTGCCACACGGCTATTTTTAAGATGCAGAACAACTTTATGAGATAGGAATTATTGTTATATTTTACCTGTTTTACAAATAAGAAAATGAAAGCACAGGAATTTACTTTTTTTGAGGTTCTACAGCCAGGATAATATTCTGGGAAGTCTGATTCCATAGCCTAATCTCTTTAATGACTGTGTTAAAATTATCCTTTTGAAAGAGAGATAGGAAGGAAGGAAAGAAAAGAAAACTATTTTATCTGGGTTAATAAATTGCCAAGAAGACCTTTAAAAAAATGAAATATACCAAATGACAATAGTACATTTAAGTGAGTGTAGTTACGACTCATCTTTGTATTAGGTAAGTTATAAATAAATACTGTCAGTATAAAGGCTTTTAATGGATCAGTTCTTTGAGAAATTAATATGTTAAACTTTTCAGATCTAAGGCTTAGAGACTATGGGGTGGATCTCATTGAAGTTTCAGACAATGGATGTGGGGTAGAAGAAGAAAACTTCGAAGGCTTAAGTAAGTTGAATTTTTCTAATCCTCTTTTAAAATATCTGGGCAAAATGTTTCAAAAACTTTTAGAAACGCCGTCTTAGGAAACGCAAAAATGACTTTTTTTTTTGTAATGACCAGTTACTTTGGTAGGTATTGTGACTGTTCAGTGGCATATCTTGGGTCTTACTGTGCACCTCTCTTTCAGCTCTGAAACATCATACTTCTAAGATTCAAGACTTTGCTGACCTAACTCAGGTTGAAACTTTTGGCTTTCGGGGGGAAGCTCTGAGCTCACTTTGTGCACTGAGGTGATACAATATTTTTGTCTACTAACTTGACCCCTTATAAAAATCTCTGAAAATGAAAACGTATGGATTAGTCATTGCTTATACTTTTCCATTCTGAAATGCCTCACGCTCTAACTTCCACATTCCGTTTTATCTTACTGCCAATCTAAGTGCTAATACTTCTGAAATGTAAGCAATGAAGTGAAGTAAATAGTCTTGTAAAAAAATTGTTGCCCTTGTTAAAGCAGTAACTTCTCAGTGTCAAAATAGCACAAAGATTGTAAGTTACAGACAGGTCGGTTTTAATTTATTAAAACATTTAGGAAAAAAATTTAACCAAAGTTCTTATTATATTAAACAGATTCTAAATTTCTGTGAATAATTATTTATACAATGGAACTATAATATTTTTTGGATCCTTGTTAAAAATTGTGTTAGAACTGTAGGAATAGAACTGAGAAATACATCTTTATTCGTTAATATGTAAGCTTTGAGATCTTTTGTTTTGCAGTTTATCCAAAAAACAAATATCAAAGCTTTTATCAAAACAGAACATTTACAGAACTCTCTGTCTCACTGTCTGTTAGGTGTGAAACCTTAGATTCTACAATGACTCCTCACTCGTAGAAACTTTCTTGGATGATCTCAGAGGGATCAGCATTTTTTCTGGAGGGGTTCTAGAGAACAGAAGTAAGAAAATGAGCATGTGATGCCCAGCACCTGTGAATTTCTGACCCCGTGGCGCCTGCTCTCTCTCACAGCGATGTGACTATTTCCACCTGCCACACATCCGCGAAGGTTGGGACTCGACTGGTGTTTGATCACAATGGGAAAATTGTCCAGAAAACCCCCCACCCACGACCCAGAGGGACGACTGTCAGTGTGCAGCAGCTATTTTATACACTGCCTGTGCGCCATAAGGAGTTTCAAAGGAATATTAAGAAGGTACAGTAAATCCAGAACCCCAGCTTCCCAGAGCCTTGGTGGAGTAATGTACATACGTAGTAAAAGATCCCCCACACAAAAGCAAACTGAAGGTAACTCCTCAGTGAATTCTCTTCCCTGAATTTTTTTTGGGAAGTGCTTAGTTTGCCTTTTCCCACCAAAGACTGAACTTCAGGTTGATTTACCCCCATCAAAGCACATTTATTAAGTGTTCTAACATGAGAATGGGTTCTTTAAGAAGTAACAGGTTTTAATTTTATCTGTAGTTTTGTTTGTTTTTATTAAGGATTTTATTTAGAGAGAGTGTGTGCACATGAGCAGGGGGAGGAGCAGGAGAGGGAGAGAGAGAATCTCGAGCAGACTCTGCTGAGTGCGGGGCCCATTGCGGTGCTCCATCTCACAACCCTGAGGTCGCAGCCTGAGCCAAAATCAGGAGTTGGACACTCAACTGACTGAGCCACCCAGGTGCCCCCTATCTGTAGTCTTTTAATAAGATTATTTTTCTTGGTTTCCTGAAAAATGAATTATTACAACTTTTTTTTTTTTTTTTTAAAGATTTTATTTATTTGACAGAGAGAGACACAGCGAGAGAGGGAACACAAGCAGGAGGAGCGGGGGAGGGAGAAGCAGGCTTCCCGCGGAGCAGCCCAATGCGGGGCTCGATCCCAGGACCCTGGGATCACGACCTGAGCCGAAGGCAGATGCTTAACGACTGAGCCACCCAGGCGCCCCTACATTTTTTCTTACTTGTTTATTTATTAAAGATTTTATTTATTTGTCAGAGAGAGAGAGAGAGAAGCAGGCTCCCTACTGAGCAAGGAGCCCGATGCGGGACTCAATCCCAGGATCCTGGGATCATGACCTGAGCTGAAGGCAGATGCTTAACCAACTGAGCCACACAGGCGTCCCTTTCTTTTTTATTTAAAAATGAAAAAATTTTTGTAGAGAGAAAAACTTTTTTTGTACCTCATGGTAAAAAATCAGTGCTTCAGAAATTATAGGAATAAAGAACTCGTACTTGCCAGAGATGACCACTGTTGATGGATTGGTCTATGTCTCTCCAGACTCCTTTTAGTTTCATGTTTTTATAAATCTTGAAAAAATTTTTGAGATGAGTTAATTAACTAGTATAATGAAATCAAGCAATACAGAATATGGAACATTTAAGTAATGTAGAGTTGTATGTGGTAGAAAGTTGATATTGTGTCTGCTGACCTCCCAGAGTTTGGTGTATATCGAAACATGTATACAGATGTATAGAACCTTTATGCATATGTTTCAATTTTTATCTTAACAATTAGGATCCTATTATATATTGTAGGTATCTTTTTTGGCTGACTCATTACTCTATCCTTTATCATTCTGTCATGATATGGATATCCCATAATTAGCTCCTTGTTGATGGTTGCTTATGTTTTTAATTTTTCACAATTACCGATTGTTCCAGTGAACATTTTTGTAATATACATTTGATTGTGCCAGTCTTTCTATAAGAATAAAATTCTAGAGGAAGGAGCACAAGGCCTAAGGGAATGCACTTTTTGATTTTTATAGCAGCAGGCATGGGGGTGCCTGGGTGGCTCAGTCAGTTGAGTGTCTGACTCTTGATTTCAGCTCAGGTCATGATCTCAGGGCTGTGGGATCGAGCCCAGTGTCAGGCTCTGTGCTCAGTGGGGAGTCTTCTTGAGATTCTCTCTCTCCCTCTGCTTCCTTTCTCCCATCCCTGCTCATGCTTTCTCTCTCTCTAAAAAAAAAAAAAGTACACATGGAAATAAAATTGGAGCAGTGGGCATGAGAGAGGTGTGGCTAGAAACCTAAGCCTATGAGTTCTCTTTTACACCACGTACAGAGACATACGTGGGAGATGATTCATGGCTCATTCTTTCAGGGATAATCTGCCTCAGTTGTGCGCTGATATGAGAACCTTGAGTTGGATGTTTTAACTTGAATCATTTAATTCTTGTAGGGTTAAAGTAACGTGGAGTCTTGCATTTGTGTTTTTTACACAGGAGTACGCCAAAATGGTCCAGGTCTTACATGCATACTGTATCATTTCAGCAGGCGTCCGTGTCAGTTGCAGCAATCAGGTTGGGCAAGGGAAACGGCAGCCGGTGGTATGCACCAGTGGGAGCGCCAGCATAAAGGAAAATATTGCATCGGTGTTTGGGCAGAAACAGGTAGTGGTGACCAGTTATTTAAGAAACATTTTATTGCTCTCGTAGTTAGAGTAGGTTTCCATTGTCCTTTCCAAAGAATAGAGAACAAAATCCAGTAATTGATTTTCCTTTTTTAAAGATTTTTATTTTTAAGTAAGCTCTACGCCCAACGTGGGGCTCGAACTTACAAACCCTGAGATCAAGAGTCACACACTCCACGGACTGAGCCAGCCAGGCACCCTTAATAATTGATTTTTGAATTAGGTACTTATCATAAAAATTACCTTTTTTAAAAAAATATTTTATTTATTTATTTGACAGAGAGAGACACAGTGAGAGAGGGTACACAAGCAGGGGGAGTGGGAGAGGGAGAAGCAGGCTTCCCGCAGAGCAGGGAGCCCAATGTGGGACTTGATCCCAGGACCCTGGGATCATGACCTGAGCCAAAGGCAGACGCTTAACGACTGAGCCACTCAGGCGCCCCCACAAAAATTAATGTTGAGAGCTGAAAGATTGTTTTATTTTATTCCAGAGAAGAAAACACTCCTTTTACTCTCTATCTGAAAAAATGTTGTGGGCAATGTATCGGTTATGGATAAGTATGAGCTCAAGTGGTTCATCTTTCTAATAAAAAAATCAGTTATTCTTACTGCCAAAAGCAGCTGTCGAGACTCTTTGTGCTCTTCATGTGAGTAGCCTGACCAGGGAAAGAAAACACACAAAGCCCTCATTCTGTATCTTCCTTTCTAAAGTTAGGTTCATCCTACTTTTGTTAGGAATTAACTGTGAATCTTGTTTTCTTATAGCTGCAAAGCCTCATTCCCTTTGTTCAGCTGCCCCCTAGTGACTCTGTTTGTGAAGAGTATGGGCTGAGCGGAGCAGATGCTCTGAATACCCTGTTTGAGTGAGTAGATTTCTGTGGGGCGGAGATTGCAATCAAATGTTTTCTCTGGAGTTTTTTGTTTTTAAAGATAGTGATTTTAAGGCTTATAGTTTCTTTTTAAAAATTTTTAAAATTTTTAAATTTATTTTATTTATTTTTTTAAAGATTTTATTTATTTATTTGAGAGAGAGCATGAGCAGAGGGGAGAGGGAGAAGCAGGGTCCCCACTGAGCAAGGAGCCTGCTGCGGGGCTCCATCCCATCTCCCTGGGATCATGACCTGAGCCGAAGGCAGACGCTTAACTGACTGAGCTACCTGGGTGCGCTTTTAAATTTTTTTAAACTTTATTTTAGTTGTTTTTTTTTTTAAGTAAACTCTATGCCACAAGTGGGGCTCAAACTCACAACCCCGAGGTCAAGAGTTACATGCTCTACTGACTGAGCCTGCCAGGCACCCCAAGGCTTATAGTTTCTTATGTTCATTATAAAATTGTAGGCATTATTGCTGAGAAAGAGGATTCCTTTCTTTCTTTCTTTTTTTTTTTTTAAGATTTTATTTATTTGAGAGAGGAGAGAGATAGCGAGAGAGAGCATGAGCAGGGAGGAGATGGAGAGGCAGGCTCCCCTTGAGCAGAGAGCCTGATTTGGGGCTCAGTCTGAGGACCCTGGGATCATGATCTGAGCCAAAGGCAGATGCTTAACTGACTGAACCACCCAGGCTCCCCAGAGAGAGAATTTCTGTAAAGGGGTCTGTTACTTAATTTGTTCAATATTCTGGGTCCCTGGTGCATTTTAGGGAGTTTCCTGTTGAATTCGCCTTTGTAGTAAAGACTATGTTTAGTGACCAATTAGAATAACTTTTAATTTACGTACATGTTGTGCTTTATGGGGATTCGTCAGAGCGTAATAAGAGGCTGTTTCCTTTAGTTCATGCCTTACCCAGCATCTTGTCCGGCATCATTACTTTTAGTGTAAGAAAAATTAGCATTTTCCCTACTTGGGATTGGCTGTGGGATGGCCCATGTCGCTCACTCTCCCTCCACTTGCCTGTGACTTATATGCCTAAAATGAAAGGTGGGGACTCACTGTGGACAGTCTGTTCTTACAGAAGTGCGCATATCCCTGAGGTAGTTCACAAGTAGAGTAAGCACTTTCACAACACCTTAGTAGACAGGAGTTTGCTGATGGAGAGCAGATTTTTAAAGGGCAGGGAATGTAGGCAGATATCATGAATACAAGTAGTTAGACCCCTTAGACAGCCAGTGGGATCAGCTGGAAGGTTCCAGAATGTGAGTCTGAGGTGAAACTCATTCCATGCATGGAGGCCAAGAATTTAATAGGGCGAGTGTGAGAGAGCTGAAGCAAATCCGTTTTGAATCCACTGCATTGCCTGTGGTGGATTTGTTGACCGCAGGAGCTGTAGAACATTCCAGAAGGTCTGTGTTCTTTTTATGATTTATCAGAATGGAACACAGATACGCATTAACTGAAATGTTAATACTTAGCACGTCACCAGGTATCCTCTTTTTGTTTTTACTTTAAGAACGTGCTCTCTGATGTGTTACTAACCCTTTTCATTCTGGAATCCTGCCCTTACTGTATGAACATTGAACAGCATCTCAGGCTTCATCTCTCACTCTGCTCATGGTGTTGGAAGAAGTTCAACAGATAGACAGTTTTTCTTCATCAACGGGCGGCCTTGTGACCCAGCAAAGGTATTTAAAGATTTTTCTGTATTAGTCTTTTCTTTTTGTCTTTAACTTTCAATTTTATTCATTATCTAATAAGGTCTCCTGATACAGGCAATTTACATGAAACATAGGACTTTGACTCGGAAACATGGCTTTAAATTATCTTATTTCAGCCATTTAAAGAAGTCTACTGGGTGCCTGGGTGGCTCAGTTGGTTAAGTGACTGCCTTTGACTCAGGTCATGATCCTGGAGTCCCGGGATCGAGTCCTGCATCGGGCTCTCTGCTCAGCAGGGAGTCTGCTTCTTCCTCTGACCCTCCCCCCTCTCATGTGCTCTCTCTCTCTCTCTCATTCTCTTTCTCGAATAAATAGTTAAAAAAAAAAAGTCTACTATACAGTTGTTTCAATTATGTGTGTGTGTATGTGTGTATACATATTGATAACCCACATCTTTATTACCATAGAAATTATCACTATTTGTAGAAAGTAAACATCTCAGCATTCACCATCATGTGGACTTTTCAGTCAAGATTGACACAGGAGCATATGCTTTGTATTTTCTCCTCTTCTGTCCATTTTTCAGGAAAATTAGGGCCGAGATACTTTCTGCCTCATACTGAAGCTGGGTGTCCTGATAGGGTTACATGGATATTAGTGGTTCAGTTTTTTTCTTTAAGATTTTATTTATTTGTTAGAGCGCGAGAGAGAAACAGCACAAGCAGGGGGAGCGGCAGGCAGAGGGAGAAACGGACTCCCCGCTGAGCAGGGAGCCCGATGTAAGACTCGATCCCAGGACTCTGGGATGATGACCTGAGCTGAAGGCAGATGCTTAACTACTGAGTCACCCAGGCATCCTAGTGGTTCAGTTTTGATTTTGCATCTTTAGCAACATTGTACCTGAGTCACAGGTTCTGATTTCCAGTGATACTTTAAAATGACTTCTAACAGATGTGGTTCAACCTCTGCATTGTCCACTGCATTATAGAAAGTGTGATTTCATAGTTTGTCTCTGACCCCGTTTAATAATCGCATTATAAAGTGATGTAAATACATTTCTGTGTACCTTAGCATGTGTTTAATGAGCGTTTAAATTGCACCTGCAGCATGTTAACAACACTGGAGTTAACATAACTAATAGATAAATAAATAGGCTGTGCCTCTATCTTTTGATATTTCTTCAAAAGCGTCTTTGGATTGGAAAAAGATTCAGGCTTAGGGGTTGGTGATTAAAAATATCCCTTTGAGGGGCACAAGGAAACTTTTTTGGGCAATGGATATATTGATCTTTTTTTTTTTTTTAAGATTTTATTTATCTATTTGACAGAGACACAGCGAGAGAGGGAACACAAGCAGGGGGAGTGGGAGAGGGAGAAGCAGGCTTCCCGCTGAGCAGGGAGCCCGATGCGGGGCTCGATCCCAAGATTCTGGGATCATGACCCAAGCCGAAGGCAGATGCTTAACTGAGCCACCCAGGCGCCCCTTGATGATCTTGATTATAGTCTTATTGACCTTGACGGTAAACTTACCAAAGTGAATACTTTGAATACATGTACTTTATTGCAGGACCACTCTGTCTCGATAAAGCTGTTAAAATACATCCCTCTAGTTAGAACAGCATGTTGGGGGACAGATGTTCTTTTTTAATCTTTGTTTTGTATGTAGGTTTCCAGACTCGTGAACGAGGTCTATCACATGTATAATCGACATCAATATCCATTTGTTGTTCTTAACATTTCTGTTGATTCAGGTAAGTTCCACTGAGCTCTCTGCCACATTGGTGACTTACCCGTAAAAGAATAAAGTGAAATTATAAAGCACTGATAATGACCGGAAAGAGACTTTTGTAGCAATACTTACTGGCAATGTATTTTTCTTTTTTGTTTTTTTACATTCTGACTTTTAATTTTATAGACTAATTTTTTATACAGGCTTTCCTGCTTTCTGCTTGAGACCGGGTTACTTGTATTATCAGGAAAATGTGACTTTTTCCTGGCACCCAAGGGAGAAAGCAAACTAAATGCTCTCCCTGATTTTAAAAATAATGCATATTTTTCTTCTGATTGGGAAAATTCGAGTTTATTGTTACCTAGTATTTTTTCTAGGCACTTAGAGATATGTACATGCCTTAAAAAAATAGGTAATGATATACATACCTGCTCATATCCTTTGCAGGAAGAAAATAATTTTGAGTAAGTTTGTATTAAGCTCTTTATCCTTAGACATGAATGTTTTCTTTGTTCTATGTCATTAAAAATTATTCAGAAACATGATTTTAGTAGCTGCATTCATTATATTCCAATATACTGATGTATCTTAAAATTTTTTTTGTTTAAGATTTATTTATTTGAGAGAGCGAGCTTGCATGTGCATGCACAAGCAGGGGATAAGGGGCAGAAGGAGATAATATCCAAACAGACTCCCTGCTGAGTGCAGAGCCGGACACGGGGCTTGATCCCATGACCCTGAGGTCGTGACCTGAGCTGAATCCAGGAGTCATACGCTTAACCAACTGAGCCAGCAAGTCGCCCAATATCTGAGCCAGCAAGTTGCCCAGTATCTTAAACTTTTTAATTTTTAGCCTTTTTTAAGCTGTCTTCAGGTTTTAGAAATTTAAATACTATCCTTATAATTAAATTGTTATCTGTAATTTTGGTTATTACTTAAGATACATTTCTAGAGCTAGAATTACCGTGTCTGTAACTGATCATGCTGTATTAATTCACTCATCTACCAGTGGTATACTGGGTAGTGTTATATTTCACCAAATTCAGTGGGTGATAGAAGGACCTTATTTTAGCTTGTAGTTTTCTATCATGTGTTTTCATGTGTTTATTTGCTTTTTTTTGGTAAATTACCCATTCGAATACTTGCATATTCCATCCATTTAATAAATGGTTTATCTTTTTCTTGTTTATTTGAAAGAGTTAATTTTATAGTTTATGAATTTTAATCTGGACATGGCAAGGTTTTTTTTTTTTTTTCATTGCAGTGTTTTTAATAGTACTTTCAGGGGGCACCTGGGTGGCTCAGTCGGTTAAGCAGCACCCTTAGGCTCAGGTCATGATCTTGGGGTCCTGGGATCGAGTCCCGCATCAGGCTCCCTGCTCAGTGGGGAGCCTGCTTCTCCCCCTCCCTCTGCCCCTCCCTCTGCTCATTCTCTCTCTCGCTCTCAAATAAATAAATAAAATCTTAAAAAAAAATAGTACTTTCGGTAAGTGCAAGTGAAAAAAATAGATGGGGAAATTTCTGTTGTTAAAGGTGATTTTAAACACAAGAAGTATCTTTTTTTCTTTTTGCCTTAGAATGTGTTGATATCAATGTCACTCCAGATAAAAGGCAAATTTTACTACAAGAGGAGAAACTTCTATTGGCAGTTGTAAAGACATCTTTGGTAGGAATGTTTGACAGCGATGTCAACAAACTCAATGTCTCTCAGCAGCCGTTGTTGGATATGGAAGGTGAGAGAAATACGGGTGTACGGACAGCTTCTTAAACTCACAGCTATTGTGATACTTTTCCTTATTTTTTTCCTGAGGGATAGTTTTTTTGGACACGGAACGAAATCTCCTCTTTAGACAGAGGATGTGTCACACTCGACAGTGTAGACGTGAGGAAATCTGATTAACGAGAGAAATGGCAGGCACGTCCGGCAGATCCGGGGATGTGGTCTCGCCAAGACTCAACCGTTTCTCTTTAGTAAACACTCCTGCTTTGCTGCAAGCCTTTTGTTCATTTCCAGAGCTCTGAAAAAGCCAATTCTGACCACTTTTGCCCATTTTCTCATTTCTTTGATGGAGTGGGGAGTTTCTGGGGCCCTCACTCTGCCATTTTCCCACACGTCACCCCCGTGCCTTCTACACTGAGTGGTATGTTGGAATGAGCATTGCTACAAAGCTGATCCACATCTGTAATAGTAATATGCACAGTTATTATTTTACTGCCTGGTCATACGTGATCAGCCGTCAATGTTTAAGTAGTTTGATGCTTTTTTATCCAAACCAGGTGTAGCCGGGACATCTGGGAGGGGGACCAGAGTTGAGCCCCAGATGCCCTCCTTGGCAGAGGGAAGAGTTGGCTATTACCTCCCCTGATGGCCATATCTGCTCCTTGGGGTGCATCCTGTCTTCTGTAGGCCAGCTCGCCCCAATCTCCATGTTTGTATGTGCAGAGATGGAGGTGGTGGGTGCCCCTCATTGTGTCCTCCGAGGGGGGGAAGACCAGAGCTGCTGAGGGAGCTGAAAGTAGGGTTTGGTGGAAAGCTAAGGTGACAGATGAGTATTGCTCCCAGTGAGAGGAAATGGTTTGGGGATGAGGCTTTGTAAACGGAAGGTAGAGGAGTTGCTGTAAGTCAGGGTCTTAGGGGAGGGGCAGGGATACGGAGCAGCTCTGTCCTCACATTCCCTAACATCGCAGGGGTGGGGAGAGGTGGATTTGGAAGACAGTAGGCAGGCTCTCGTTTTGATAATCCGGGAATAAGGTGGAAGTGAAGTTCCCGAGGGCTGGGGTGGTGCTTGAGCACAGAAACTTAGACAGTAGAGTGGCGGAGCTTTGATGTGGACGCTGGGAGCCCCCATCGGCTCTGCTTGCACTCGGTGTGGGGTGCTACAGATGTGGGTGTGCGTGGGGATGGGGTGGAGGATGGGCCATTGCAAACACATCTTTGTGGAACTGGCCAGGGTGGCATCTCTGAGCCCACTCACAAACACTTTGCCAGAGGCTACCCTATAAAGATAACCTCAGAATATTGGGGCATCCCAAGGCACAGTTGAACCAATGTCCCTTTTCAGCCGTTTAACTGAATACAGAAACACATCTAAGTGTGTGAGCCCTGAGGTCAAGGAATAGCAGCACCCCTAAACCACCCTGGGACTCCTTTTCTTCCATCGCCTCCCCCGGTGGTGACCGTTTTCCTGACTTCTGACACCACAGATTCATTCTACCTGCTTTTAATTTGAAGCCACCTAGTATGTAGGCTTTTTTGGGATTTGTTTCAGTGTCTCGTATGACTCATCCGTGTCACATGGGGCACCTGATGCGTTCCCTCTCTTTGCTGTGCAGCATTCCCTTGTATTTACATGCCATGGTTTGTTTGTGGACAGTTGTGTCATTTCCGGGATTGGGCTGTTGTGACTCAAACAGCCAAGAACACCCCCGTCTGTGGCTTCGGCGGGCATGGGTGCCATTTCCAATGGGAGCAGCAGTGCTGGCTTGCTTAGATTCAGGAGCTCTCCCCCCAGAGGGTTCTCCAAAGCCATCCTACCGATTTCATTACCCCCAGCAGCATGTAAACATTCCTTTTGATCCTCGCCCTTGTGAACTTTTGTCGTGTCTTAAGTTTTCACCCGCGCTGGTGAGTATACAGTAGCATCCCGCTGTGGTTTTAATTCCTGTGCCCTTTATGATGAACGTGGAGCCGTTTTCATATGTTTGATCAGCCATTTGGATCCCTGCTTTTGTGAAGTGCCTGTTCAAGTGGAAACACCCTCTGATTCCATTTCCGTGCAGCCCCTGATACTCTTCTCTGTCCATTTATCTACTCAGGTCACGTAGTAAAAATGCACTCGGCAGAAATGGACAAGCCTCAGCCAGCAAAGCCGGATAGTCCCGCTTCGTTAAGGACCGGAGAAGAGAAAAGGGCAGTGACCATTTCCAGACTGAGAGAGACCTTTTCTCTTCGGCACACGATGGAGGACAGGCCTGAGGGCCTGAAGAGCCCTGAACCGAGGCGGGTTTCCCCAAGACAGAAGAGACACGAACAGCTTCCCGGCGCTTCAGGCTCTCTCTGCGCCCGGAGGCCCATCCCTGGCACAGACTCGCGTGGCCCCCAGGAGGAGGTGACGCGTTCAGATAAGGGCCCCTGTGACTGCAGGGACAGAGGGGACACGGAGCAGGACTTGGGGCCTAGCCGCCCATCAGCCAGCCCGGGGGAAGGGCTCGGCACCCCAGAAGTGGGCGGTCACGCCAGCAAGGAGTTTTCCCAAGGAAGTGTGGAGTCTCGGGAGGAGTCACCTGAGACTGACCGTCGCTCTGCAGACCCTGAAGGCCATCTAGACCAGGAGGATGGCGGTCGGACACATAGAGTCTTGCCTCGGCCCGCCGATACGTCCTCCTCAAACACAAAGCGTTTTAAGAAAGATGGAATTCCTTTCAGTTCTGACACCTGCCAAGGGTTGGTGAAGACTCAGACCTCACCAGCATTTCAGGTTGACGTGGCTGTTAAAATCCATAAGAAAATAGTGCCCCTGGCCTTTTCTATGGGCTCTTTAGCTCAACGAATAAAGCAGTTGCAACAACAAGAACAGCGAAGAGAAGGCACACAGGATTGTAGGAAGTTCAGGGCCAAGATTTGCCCAGGAGAAAACCAGGCCGCAGAGGAAGAACTCAGAAAGGAGATAAGGTAAAGTTCTTCCTTAGGAGGATTTGTGCTCGTGACTGTGAGCTGCAGCAGGGGACAAGGCTGATCCTTCCAGGCTCTGCTTTTGCTCCCCTGGGTGTTTTCTGCTCCGCCCGCCTCCTCTCCTGGCTTAGGGCACGGGTGTGGCCCCGCCTCAGCTCCAGGGTCTGGTCCTCTGGCTGCCAGACAGACGGACCTGCCTGAGGGCCTTCCCCGCACCACAGACCTGGCACATCCCCACCTCAGACCTGCCCGAGCTCCTCTCTCTTCCTCTCCTGGCCCCCTTTCTCTCTGCCTTCTCAGTGCTCCTTCTCGAAGATTCTGATTTTGGAGTCTGTCTCCCCTCCACAGATTGGTCATTAATTAGCCTCACTGGTGCATCCTTGGTGATGCTTTTTCCATTCACCTCCTTTTTGTTGCCTCTCATGCGTGGCAAATTAATTTTCTTTAAAGAACTCTTTCTCTGTGAAACCTTTCAAGAATTGTTTCCTTAGGTTTTCTTTGCACATCCTTTCCATCAGTCAAAATTAATCAGTCCTTCGTTGATCCCCACCTCATTCCTCTTTGTGAAGGTTTCCAGCTCACAGCAACTCCTCCCTGCACTGAATTCATGGTGGTTTTCGGAGACATTGCTATTTCTTGTTATTGATTTATTTAAAAAAAAAATTTATTGTATTTATTTATTTATTTATTTTAAAGATTTTATTTATTTGACAGAATTAGCGAGGGCAGGACCACAAGCAGGGGGAGTGGGAGAGGGAGAAGCAGGCTTTCCGCCGAGCAGGGAGCCCGATGTGGGGCTCGATCCCAGGACCCTGAGATCATGACCCGAGCCGAAGGCAGATGCTTAACGGCTGAGCCACCCAGGCGTCCCTATTTATTATTTTTTAAAAGTTTTATTTATTTGTCAGAGAGAGAGCACATGTGTGTGCACGCACACAAATGGGGAGAGGCAGGCAGAGGGAGAAGCAGGCTCCCTGCTCAGCAGGGACTTGATCCCAGGACCCCGGGATCATGGCCTGAACTGAAGGCAGATGCTTAACCAACTGAGCCAACCAGGCGTCCCTCATTATTGATTGATTACCAGAAATTGTAATGCATTGTCAAACTTGTGATTTCCAGAGGATTGCCTCCGGTAAGACTAAGTAATAAAGGGAGTCGATTTAGAGAAAACTATTAATACTGATAGTAGAAAATACTCGTCACCACCACTTTGTTGAGAATAATCATGTGTAATGTTGTGATTTCTAAAAATGATGAATTCTCTTGATTTAACTTTTATCTTTTTAAATGTTGTACGTGTTTTGTCTGAGTAGGTACTGACATATGCTGTGACTTGTACAGAGTGCATTGAGATTTTGTGGCACTTTTAGTCTGGACCGCTAGGCTTTGCTTAATTTTGACGATCAAGTCTTCAACAGCAACCAATTTATTATACTCCCTTGATATCCACAGTGCCTAGCTTACATTGAGAAGGGTTTTCAGGAAATAGTTCCTTTAACGCGTGTGTAATTAATGGAGGTGAGCCTCTTCCGGTGGGCTCTGGGGCCTGTGAACCCTGAGGGATGCAGTGATGAGCCAGGCTTCTTGCTCACGCACACACACGATCATGGAACACGTGCTTGATGGGGAAAGACCTGGAAGGTGCCCAAAATGAAAACTAATTATACTTTCCCCTTGGATTCTTTTAAGTCCTCTCAGTGAGTGAAATCAACTGTAATTTTTAAAAATAGTGATTTTTTTAAAGATTTTATTTGTTTGAGAGAGAGCGAGCATGAGCAGGGGGAGAGGCAGAGGAAAGACAAGCAGATTCCCTACTGAGCAGGGAGCCCAATGCAGAGGTTGATCCCAGGACCCTGAGATCAAGACCTGAGCCAAAGGCGGATGCTTAACCAACTGAGCCACCCAGGTGCCCCTAAAAATAGTGATTTTAAATCAACAAATATTCATCGATCACCTGTCGTCATGGTTCTGGAATTTGGGTGCACATAACAATCGATGAGGAAGCTTGTTTGAAAAGCAGAACTTACGGCCAGCCTCGGGAGATTCTGCTTAGTAGATCTGGTAGATCGTGGGTGTGGGGCTCAGGAATCTGCATTTTGACAGGAACCCCAGTTAGTCACTTGGAGAACCCTGATCCACAGTGGGCCCAGCATTGGCTTCTGGCCTTCAGTGCACAGCTGCTGGATTGCCTCTTGGTTCTGAGCTGTGGTTCTGCTGAAGACTTTTTCCTGAGACACATTCCGAGTGAAAGAATAGGCAGTAATTGAAGGTACTGTGGTCGTGTTTACCAGCTTTTGTGTTTATATTTTGAGGTATAACTAAATACATCAAAGTCGTAAAGTTTTGCTATGTTTTAGTTCATGGTGGGAGATACACCTGCAAAGACAGAATGCCTGAGTCTTCGGGCCGGTACAGGTTCTTCCCGTGGGGTATCTACCTGGGGAGCCAGAGCACAGAATCAGAGCCAGGGAGTTGGCCTTCGTGCCACTTACCCGTGTGTTGCCTCTCAGCTCAAATCCACTGTACTTTGCCCTACTTTGCAACCCTGGCGCCTGGACCTTGTAAGCCTTCTTTTCTGGGGCGCTGCCAGACTTTGTCAGTAGGGGGCACCGGAGGGACATCGCAAGACAGTGCCCGAGCCCGGCTTCTCTCCTTGCTTCTTGGCGGCCCTTGTCTTTTCCTCCTACAAGGCAGCCGCCAGCAGCAGGCCCTGCATTGCTCACTCTCTTGCTGCAGCAGACCTAGCGGACTTATTTTTATCCAGTGGGCTGCAGGTCTGAAGCTCAGCCGGGGAGGGGGAGGGGTGCTCTTGCAGGAGTTCCTTCTTTGGACACACTCCCTCATTCCTGGGGGGGGGTGGGAGCTGCCTCCTGCGTTTGCTACTCCCGTGTTTCTTAGCTAAGTAGTTAATCACCTTATACTGGTTTCCAGTACCTTGTTAGGATTTTTCCCTGTTCAAATCATGGGTGTGGCTTTTGTGTCCTGTGGACTCTGACATGGAATCACTACTAGGAATGGTCCCAGGAGACACACCTTTGAAGATAGGGTTTGGGGATTGGTTTGGTCCTGCCCTTGAACTTGAGCTCCGTGCTCAGCTCCTTGCCAACAGGAAATGGGAGGTTAGTAACCCGTGGCGCACGGAGGCGTCACTGTTCGACTCTCACCCATGGTTGACCGGTGAGGCACCCACCCGAGCAGGTCCCACGGGGGTCCAGGTGGCTTCTGTGCTGTGGGAGGGACCTTCCTCACTGGAGCGCTTACAGAAAGAAGGGACTGCCTCAGGACCGTCTGAGAACCAGCGTGCTTCGGCGGCAGCTCTGACAGTCTCATGTCCTGCGGCCACAGGGCCGATGCTCGTGAGTTGTGTGGGGTGGAGAATGGCAATGTCAGCGTCCCCATGGAGATCAGTGGTGCTGTCTCCCGTCTGCACTGACGCCCGCAGTCACTCACGGAGTTAGACTTCGGAGCCACCAACCAAACGACCTGTTGGTGAACTTAGGTATCAGAACGATTGATACCCGGGATTGGTAAACAGGTAGTTTTATACACTGCTGATGGGAGTGCAAACTTCTGTAGGTCCATCAAAGTAAAAAAAATGTACGTCCACATCTAGGGATTTATCATATAGAAATGCCCCCAGAATAGTGCAGATTTATGTCCATGAACGTTTGTTGCAGCGTTTTTTTGTATTACTTGAAATGGAAACAGCTGAAATGTCCTTTAGTAGGGAATTTGTCAGACAAATTATGGTACATGCACACAGTGAGTTCCTGTATGCCACTGAAAAGAATGAAGGAGATCTATCCGTGTGGGTCTGAGAAAGCACCTAAGGTGCATTGTTAAGTGGTGGGAGTAGAACAGCATGAAGAATTAGGATTCCATTTTTGTTTGTTTAAAACAACATGTAGACAAAAGTCTGGGAGCTTATGTGCCAAATGAACAGTCGTAACTAATATATCTCTGGGGAGCTGGATGAATAACTAATGTTATCTTTAGAGAGTGGCATTATTAGGGGTGCTGGGGTGGCCCAATCGGTTAAGTGTCTACCTTCAGCTCGGGTCATGATCTCAGGGTCCTGGGATCAAGCCCTGCATCAGGCTCCCTGCTCAGCGGGGAGTCTGCTTTTCCCCTCACCTCGCTTGTGTGTCCTCTCTCTCTCAAATAAACAAAATCTTAAAAAAGAAAGTGGAATCATTAGGAACTTTCTCTGTTTTATGTTTTTGTATTGTTTTGTATTACAGTCTATGAAAAGTAATCTTTTAAAATTGTAATGTCTCATAATGAACATTTTTTACATGCAGTAAAGCGATGTTCGCGGAAATGGAGATCATTGGGCAGTTTAACTTGGGATTTATAATCACCAAACTGAATGCAGACATCTTCATAGTGGACCAGCATGCTACGGACGAGAAGTACAACTTTGAGATGCTGCAGCAACACACTGCCCTCCAGGGTCAAAGGCTCATAGCGTAAGTTCATTCTGCTGTTCAGAATTCTCCGTGTTGTCTTCACACCTAAAGTTTAAAACCTAAGAGCTTATATGTGTGTGTGTCTCTGTTTTTTAGCCACAAGCATCCCTATGGCAGATTTTTATACTTTTTACATAATAATAGTCATAGCTGCCATTTACTGAGTCCTTGTTAGGTGCCAGGCACTGTTGAAACGCATTTACACGCACTAACTCATTTAATCCTCCCAGACCTACGAGGTGGCTACTATTCCCACCATCGCTTCACAGGTGATCTCACAGAGGCGCACAAACAGCGGTTAGGTAACTTTCCCAAGTTCATACAGCTAATGTGTCATTTTTTTTTTTTAAGATTTTATTTATTTGACAGAGAGAGACACAGCAAGAGAGGGAACACAAGCAGGGGGAGTGGGAGAGGGAGAAGCAGGCTTCCCGCTGAGCAGGGAGCCTGATGCGGGGCTCGATGCCAGGACCCTGGGATTATGACCTGAGCCGATGACAGACGTTTAACTGACTAAGCCACCCGGGCACCCCATTATGTGTTAATTATCAAGCCTTTTGCCTTTTCTGGTTGGCCAGAAAAATCATCTTGAGGAAGGGCAATTTATGGTATGTCGTGTGTTCAGAAAGGCAGCCAGCCTGTGTGTCAGTCCTCAGCTAGACGAGGTCGAGTCCCCTGATTAGTCACTGCAGAATTTGGTATTTCTCTCTCCTTTGCCAAACTGCCCATTTTACACTGACCGCTTTACAAGGTGGTAGGGTGTATCATGTAAACCAGAAGTCCATACGCCAAGTTACAAGAAGAGGTCCTGAATTTTTATTTCGGAAATTCAGTGACGTAGAGAAATACACTCAGATCCCAACAAGAGTAGATCCCGGCGTGAAGAAATGTTCAACTACAATAGTCAGCGGGGAAAATACACTGAGTTTATGGAGTACTCGATTTCCTATGGAATGGATGAATTCTGTTTATTTTCAGCAGGTGTAAATGGTAACAATAAAGACATTCAATAAGCTACTTTATCAGGGCGCCTGGATGGCATAGTTGGTTAATTGTCTGACTCTTGGTTTTGGCTTGGGTCATGATCTCAGGGTCGTAAGATCGAGCCCAGCATAGAGCTCCGCACTCAGCAGGGAGTCTGCTTGAAGATTCTCTCCCTCTGCCCCTGCCCCCACTCATGCTCTCTAAAATAGGTAAATCAAATCTTTTAAAATATAAGCTGCTTTATCATGCTGAATTATTTCTGCCTTTTTCACAGAGGTCTTTTATTTTTCAGCCATTTTACATAAATAATGTCTCGTTCGTGGCATTTCAGGTTGGCTCAGGTAATCACAGGCCACATGGCATTTCAGGTTGGCTCAGGTAATCACAGGCCACTCGGGGTTCCTGGTGGGCCATATTTCAAGGATAAAGATCATAGGTCTATCCTTTCCCACCAGGCCGTGTATGGTCTGGCCCTTCTTATGCCCTCACCTCTTCGTTCTCCATGCTCAAGGAGACACTTCAGGACCCCTTCCCTGACCCCTGTCTCTAGGTTGGTCTCACTTGCTCTGTGCTCTTATGGACTGGGTGTCTCTTCTTCCTGATTGGCTGCGTGCTTTGTAATTATAGTTTGACTGCTTGATGAATGCCATTCTTCCCCACCAGTCTCTTACTCCATGAGGGTGGAGACCTGGCCATCCTATCTCCTGCCTTTATCAGTCTGTCTCATTAAGGGCTCAGTGGTTCCAGGAGGACAGATGGATGGATTGCCCCGCAGAGAGATGGAGAGAGGAATATTGCAGGCTCGGAAGGGGCAGGATAGCAAACAGATGCTCTTTATTCTGCTTTCAGAGGTCTGTAACATAGCGCGGGAGGGAAAATGGCATCTTCATGTTCTCCTGTTATCTTTAAGGAGCGGATTGAGAGAAGCCTGGGGTCGTGGGGGTGGGGTGGCAGACTGAGGAAAGCCAGCTGCTTTTGTGGTCGTTTTAACTTTAATAAAAGAAGATCAAAGGGGAATTCTCAGGCAGTTATGTGACCGGAAAGGCATGTAGCTCAAGGAAGTGTTGCTACTCACGTTGCTCTTTTCATATATATATATATTTTAAAGATTTTATTTATTAGAGAGCGAGCGAGAGAGAAACAGCATGAGAGGGGAGAGGGTCAGAGGGAGAAGCAGGCTCCCCGCTGAGCCAGGAGCCTGATGTGGGGCTCGATCCCAGGACTCCGGGATCATGACCTGAGCTGAAGGCAGTCGCCCAACCAACTGAGCCACCCAGGCGCCCTCACGTTGCTCTTTGAAAGGAATTCAGAGAAGCACGTACTGGTTCGGTTTCCCTTTTGCTTTATAGCTAAAGGTTTAACTTCAAAACTGGGTTTGAGTCTCCTCTCTGTTCTTTCAGACCCCAGACTCTCAACTTAACGGCTGTCAATGAAGCTGTTCTCATAGAAAACCTGGAGATATTCAGAAAGAACGGCTTTGATTTTGTTATCGACGAAGGGGGTGAGTTATTAGGACTACGAGGTGCATCCTGTTAGCGCCGGGAACAGTCTTTGAGGTTCTGTGGATCAGTGTATTTCATCAGAGATGGACACGGTTCCCCCAGAAAGCGTGTTGCTTGCTTTCCTCTCCCGGCGTTCGTGATCACATAGCGGTGGAGGGACACGTGCTCTTCAAATAACCGAGTCTTCTCCAAATCTTATTCTTTTAGCTCCAGTCACCGAAAGAGCTAAATTGATTTCTTTGCCAACTAGTAAAAACTGGACCTTTGGACCCCAGGACATCGACGAGCTGATCTTTATGCTGAGCGACAGTCCTGGGGTTATGTGCCGGCCTTCCCGAGTCAGGCAGATGTTTGCCTCCAGGGCCTGTCGGAAGTCCGTAAGTAAAGAACGCTCGTCTGCCGGCACAGTGGCCGGGACTGCCCTGGGTCGTTGTATGGAACACAGCCACGAGCTTCTGTAAGCACGTGTGCCCCAGAAGCCAGGGTCGGCGCTGTCTCTGACCTCTGACCCGTAATTGCAAGCAGCATGCTCTGATAGAGCTTTCGCCGATCCCAGAGCGGTGAGCTTTCTAGGCCCGTGGTTTGTCTGTGGACGGGGAGGAACATGGGCAGATGACCGTTGCTCCTGCCAGCCCTAAAGGCCACTGCGCGGGGCTTTGCAAGTCCTTCCGTCGGCGGGCACCTCACTGGGCGCCCTGTTGGCACTGCCGCCGCTCAGGCTGTCCCAGAGGTGGTGGCAGTGGTGGGTGATCAGTCTGATGTCCAGGTAGGTGCATCTGGATCACCTGGCCCCTGGGAGCGGCCGGGACGCCCTCCCTTCATCAGATACTCCCTGAGCCCTGGCTGTGCGGCCCGTCCTGTCCAGGTGCTGGGGGGGACACAGGTGTCAAGAAGGTTGAGGTCCTCGCCCTTGTAGAGCTTATGATTTTTGGGGAGGGAAAGATGTAAGCAAAATAATGACAACCTCCGACACCAATAGGTTTAGAAAAGAAGTTAGAACAGCGAGGGGCTGGGGAGTGGCCACGGAAACCCAGGCAAGCCGTTGAGGTGGCGGCCAGGGAAGGGGTCTCCGAGGAGGGGGCATCTGAGCTGATGCCTGGAAGGGGACATGGAGCCCCTCGGGGACGAGCCCTCCAAACAGAGGAAACAGCAAGTGCGAAGATGGGGAGGTGGTGGGATGGGGGTGTTGAACCCAGCCCGAGGCTGCCCGTGTGATGGGAGCGGGGCCAGGATGCGAGTGCAGCGGCGTCCGGGGCCCCCCAGCATGGGGTCTGGCGGTCCCGGCGGGCCCCTGGGAGCTCGCGCTGCGTGGAGGCTGTGATGGCGGAGGGCGGGCCGTTGCAACAGGGCGCCCGGTGAGGTGCCCACTGCCGACGGAAGGATTTGTAAAGCCGTTGCTAGAGCGGAGAGGGGGCGGCGGGGAAAGCAGCGGCTTGCTCACTTTTGGGGGGTGGGTGGCCTAAAAGCTGTGTTGTATCTGAGGCCCCATCAGGCTGTAACTGGACGTGGTCTGAAAGCGGTCAGATTAATGAATCAGAGCTCAGGGGCAATGTCGGTGCCAGAGGGAAAACTTGGGGCACTTTACAGCCTTGGGGTTGGATAACGTTACTCCACGGAGGGGGTTACTTAGAGCAGAGAGCGGGGTCCAGATCCACCTTCCATCTGCGGGGCTTTGTTTGATGAAGACCTTGTGCTGGTGTCCCAGTCCTGGGGTGAGTGGGAGGCCGTGCAGACGGGCCTGTGCTAACAGCCAGGCATCTTAGAACCCTGTCTCAACGTGCCTCAAGCTGCCTCTGCACCCCGGCAGGCCCTTGGTGCTGCAGCTCTTCCTCGTCCTGTGTGCTGAGCCTTATGGGCTCCCCTCTGCCGCACCCCGAGGGGCCCAAGCTCCGCCCTGCCGGCCCTTCAGCCCTGTCTGCTCGCTCAGCTCCAGCCACACAGGCCACCTTCCAGTTCCGCAGCCGCTCCAGCCTTCCTCCCGCCTCACCTCCCTCCTTCACGGACCTGGCTCCCTCCTGTCCTCAGCTCCCCCCGAGCACCCCTCTGAAGCAGCCTCTCCCAGGCCCTTGGGCACAGCCCCCTGCTTGATAGTTGCCCGTTTCTCTCCAACATGGCAGAGGCCTGCTGCGTGTCCTGCCTCTGGGGCGGTGCGTGGCACGTGGAAGAAGGAAGGGGATGCATAGGCTCAGGCTTGTCGCCTGTCACCATCTCTTCTTGTTTCTCAGGGGCTCAGTTTCTCCGTGTTTGCGTGGACCCCGCTCATTGCCACGTATATGTCAGAGAAATGTGCTGTGGAGAAAAGCAGGGTGAGGGCCACAGAGGGACAGACGGGGAGTGCTTGGAGTCAGGGACAGAAGCCTGAAGGGAGGGGCAGTGAGACATGCAAGTATCTGGGGATGGAGTCTCCTGGGCAGAGGGCATAGCCGGTGCCAAGGTCCTGGGGCAGGTGCTTGTGGAGTCCATCTGTAAGAGATGGACTGCTGGAGTGGGGGCAGGGAGGGATGCGTGCTTGCAGGTGCGGGCACTAAGGCCAGGGAGGGCCAAATCAGGTGATGCATGTGGGCTCTTATCCAGGTGAGAGGCAAGAGCTGAGAAGGTGAGCCGTGTGTGATCTGATGTGCCTTTTTTTTTTTTTTTAAAGATAGGGGCACCTGGGTGGCTCAGTTGTTAAATGTCTGCCTTCAGCTCAGGCCATGATCCCAGGGTCCTGGGATTGAGTCCCACGTCCGGCTCCCTGCTCAGTGGGAAGCCTGCTTCTCCCTCTGCTGCTCCCCCTGCTTGTGTTCCCTCTCTCGCTCTTTTTCTGTCAAATAAATAAAATCTTTAAAAATAAATAAATAAAAGGAATTGCTGGCTGCTGAGTGGAGAACGGCTGGAAGGGGGCCGCAGGGAGGCCTGTTAGGAGGCCCTGCGGTCGCCGAGGTGACAGGCCAGGGCAGTGGGCCAGAGGCCGTGGTGGAGCCGCCAAGACTGGTGAGATCCTGGGCAGGTTTGGTTGGCGTCTCCGGCCGAGGTCTGCTGCTGTGCAGGAGTCACCGAGGGGCTGGATTTCCCAAAAAGGTGGGGGCCTGAGATGGTAGAGGGTAGGTAGGGTTCCTTGGAGGAAGATTTCTCGGGGAATGTTGTTGTTGAGTTGTAATCTTGTCCATCTTTGTTTCAGAGAAAAATGCTCCTGAAGAGTTGTTATTCTAACCAAAACCAATAAAACTTTAAATCGCTGTTTCCTATTCAGGTGATGATTGGAACTGCTCTTAACACAAGCGAGATGAAGAAACTCATTACCCACATGGGCGAGATGGACCATCCATGGAACTGTCCCCACGGAAGGCCGACCATGAGACACATTGCCAACCTGGATGTCATTTCTCAGAGCTGACAACGCTTCTCATTTTATAGAACTACACATTTTATTGCAGATTTTTCTGTTTCCAAAAGCAGGGTTTTTAACTAGTCACTTGTTTGCAAAAGAACCTGCTGTTTTAAAAAAAATTACCAGATCCTTAGAAGTGATCTCGAGAACCTTTTCAAACCACATGGAGCATTGCTTGCCACGTTTTTTGTTCTGCACTTGAACGTGTGCATGTGTACAAGCAAGAGCCCGTCACAGAAATAGGAAGAACGCCTCGAAAGTCACTCAGGCCTCCCTCTGCTGCAGTGGCCTGAGCTATTTTAGTCTGCAGCTTTCAGCCTGTAATATGATTAAATTCCTAATGGTTTAATTTCATAAAATTGTGGTCCTTTTGGGTTAGTGGCTCTCAAGCCTAACGCACATTAAATTAAAAAAAAAAAAAGAATAGAAACAAAACTTAACCGGAAGAAAACGGCCCAGGTGGGGCCTGGGGTCACTATTTTTAAATGATCCCTGGTGCAGCCCGGGTGGCAAAGTGCTGTCGTAGGCAAGGGGAAATAAAAGATTGATTTTTCTCTAAATGCTGCTATTTCCTTTCCTTGGGGCATGGATTGCAGGATGTTCTTGTTACTGGCCCTCCGTGGTACTGGAGAGAGCAGAAACTGTTGTCAAATAGTTTTTCATAGAATCTCGTCCCGTTTGAACCCAGCCAGAGACGGAGGTCAGAGTGCCCTCTGTGGACCCAGAAGGCTGTTGATGTACAGTGACCAGTGTGGACCAGCCGCCCTGTGCTCACCCACCCTCCCAGCTTCCGTTTGCAAACGTAGAATTCTTCAGATGTCATGAGACAAGTAATCACTGTCATGTGTCAAAACACTATGCAGCTGTGCCCTTCTGTAGGCTCTCATTTGATAATTGCTGGAACTCTGCAAATTGGGGTCTGGTAGGCACCACTTCCATCTCCACCGCCAAGACTGCTGTGGCCTAATCTGAGAACCCTAAATTTTGTGACCTAAATGGCCAGAGGGGGCTCTGAAGATGTGATTGAGTGAGGGGTCATAAAGGGCAAGTATCCTGGATTGGCTGGGTAGATTACCCCACCCAATCTAGCACCTGTCTTAAAAGTTGGAGAACCTCTCTCAGCTGATACCGAAGATGTAGGAAGGCCACCTCTAGAAGCTGGAAAAGGCAAGGAAATGGGTTCTCTGGAGCTGCCAGAAGGAACCAGCCCTGTTGGGCTCCTAACTTAGAATCCTAAGATGATAAATTTGCGTTGCTTTAAGCCACTTAAGTTTGGAGTAATTTGTTTAGGACATTGGAAAGCCGCCTGAATTCTTGTGTTATGGTGAAGATTAAGGCTGCGAGGCCACGCGGCAATTAGAGCTAATTGCTGGGAGAACGCGGGTCCAGGTGCGTCCAGCTCCAGGTTGGCCTTGAGCAGAAGGGCTGGGCCCTGATGCTCTGGGGCTTCTAAGCCGGCGGTCCCTTTAAGGGCGGGGGGGGCGGGGCGGGGCCCGCAGTTGCCTGGAGACCGGCCCGAGTCTGGACGCTCGGCGTTCCGCGCAGCACCTCCGCCGAGGCCTCGCTGAGCCCCCGGGAGTCCGGAGCCAGGTGAGCGTCCTCCCTGTGGTTCTGCGTCAGCCACCGCAGACTTGACGGCCAGGTCCGGCTTTTCCTCGGCCAGGCGGACGCGGCCCCCAGGACCTGAGGCAGGGTCGGTGGGCAGGAGGCGCGGGGGAACCCCAGGCTCAGTGAAGGCGTGCTCCTTTTGTGCTGCCTAATGAATAAATCACCATGATAATACGACTTCACGGGCCGGGGAGAACAGAACATCAAAGTCAGTGGGGGAAAACGCCATGAGAAACGAGATTTGCCTTTGTTGTAGGTCAGATTTCACTGACAAGGACCAGAAAGCCTCTCTATAGCAAAAGACTCACTTGGGCTTCACTGGAGAGACCATGATGGGGTGGGGGCTGGAAAAAGTAGTAGGGCTTTGAAGGAAGAGAAAAGCAGGATCCTGTTGGTGAGAGCAAAGCTTAGGGGTGGGTTGATCTGGTAGGTGGGGTGTCCAAAGGATCCCATCCAAGCCGTGGGCTTGTGGGGTGCCCACTGCACCCCTCAGGGTGTGAGGAGGGACTAGACCTTGCCCTGCACCCCAGGACTCGTCTTGTGTGTCCTGCTTGTTGGACTGAGATGCTTTCAATGGGGCCAGTTTGGGAGGCCATGAAAACTTTGGCTTTGGGGACCTGCCCCCCAGATCTGTGACCTTGGGCACATCACACCGTACCTTTTCTGGCATGGGAAGTAGGCAGCCAAAGATTTCAAGTTCAAAAACAGGAAAGTGACATGATAATCACCCCATCATGGATAGTGTGCTGTACCCCATACTTTAGGGGGTTTCTGTGCATCGTTTCATGTAATTCTTAAAATGAGATGAGGCACTGTTATTTCTATTTGATATCTGAAGCAGAAGGAGATTCACCTGCTCAAGAACACACAGGGAATCCTCAAGATTCCCTGCAGAAGCCTGAATCCAGCTCTTGAGCGCTCTGCGGTGCAGATGTATTGAGAGATGGGCTTTTAAAGTATGGATTGGCAGCATGGAAAACCTTAGGGATTAAGTAGCCATTTTTCATGTATCAGGTTACCTTCCTGCTGGGATGGGACACTATTTGAAAAGAAATGGTAGGTGGTGGTTCCAGTTTAAAAAAAAAAAAATTAGGGACAACCAAGGAGATCGTCCTATAAACTGGTGATACTTGATAGTTGTAATTTTTCAAGCTTTAGGAGGAGAACAACCATGACATTGGGTTGCAAAGTTGAAATTTTAACTACAAGTGAAACCTGCAAGTATTTAGAGAATTTTTATTTTTCAGATGAAACTGATCAGCGCCTTGAAACAGTAAACTTGAACACTTCTAAAGGCAATGGTGAAAGAAAAGAAAAGAGCAGACAAAAAGGGGGATAAGTCCACCCGCTCTCCCTCCTCTCTCTCTGATTATCCAGAGTTTGCCAAACAAGATGGCAGTGTGGCTAGGCAAGAGATGTCCCCTCGTGCCGTCCCACCATTGGAAATGCAGCCCAGTGAATTGGGGCCCCGAAGAGAGTCCAAACATGAAAAGCAGCAGAATGAAGATGCCACTCACTACGAAGAGCCCATTCTCACCAAACTCATAGTTGAAAGGTGATTTTAATGGGCTGCATCTTCCATGTTCCCCTTTCTATAGTCTCTGTTCTCTCTCTCTGCAATCTCTTTCCCTGCCCCTCTTCTAGATGACTTTAAAATCTAGGTGTCTCTCTTGGAGTTTGAGGTTCAAATTTTTAACTCCCTACTGGACATTGTCCACTGGGCTTCAAGCTCCCTGTGTCCTGAAGCAAAGACTGCAGGGCTTGAAATGAGATCTGAATTGGGGTGTTAGCTCTGTGACATCAACACCATCATTGAACTTTTCTGAGCCTCAGGTTCTTTTTTTTTTTTTTTTAAGATTTTATTTATTTGAGAGAGGGAGAGATCGAGTGAGAGAGCATGAGCGAGGGGAGGGGCTAAAAGAGAGGGTGAAGCAGGCTTCCCGCTGAGCAGGGAGTCCGATGCGGGACTCGATCTCAGGACCCTGAGATCATGAACTGAGCCGAAGGCAGATGCTTCACCGACTGAGCCAGGCAGGTGCCCTGAGCCTCAGGTTCTTTTTTTTTTTTTTTAATTTATTCATTTGAGACAGAGAGAGAGAGAGAGAGCATGAGCAGCGGAGGTTCAGAGGGAGAGGGAGAAACAGGCTCTCCGCGGAGCAGGAAGCCCAATGTGGGACTTGATCCCAGGACCCCGGGATCATGACCTGAGCCAAAGGCAGAGGCTTAACCCTCTGAGCCACCCAGGTGCCCCTGAGCCTCAGGTTCTTAACTGGGGAAAACACACCCCATAGAAGTTTCCTCCACATGTTGCTACTTCTCCAGCCATTGGCTTCTCCGTTGATCTCTGTCGATTTCTGTAAGGGGGCTACCATTTCCTCCCTCTCCAGGCTGTCCTCCTTCCCTATGATTTCATATTTCTTTTTCCTCTAGGCTTCTCTCATTCCTTTTCTCGAATGCTTACTTCGCCTCTTCGTTATCTCTTGACTGCTGGCCTCATTTCCTAAAGATTTGAGATTTGCCTTCCTAATTGTTTCCATCACTCCCTGGATTAGTTATCTGTCCTTGTAACAGGTCCCCCCCGAACGTGATAATTAAGACGAATACTGTTGCATGCAGTTCATGGGGGTCAAGAATCAGGGAGCAGCTTAGCTGGATGGTATTGGGTTAGGACATCTGGAGTTTCAGCCAAGATGTGGATCTAGACTGCCATCATCCGAAGGCTTGGCCGGCTGCTCGGTCCGCTTTCAGAGTGGCTCCTTGGCATGGCTGTTAGTGGGAGGCCTCAGTCCCTCATCCCACAGACTCCCTCCACAGAGCTGCTTGGCTGTCCTCACCACCCGGCACGTGGCTTCCCCAGAGAGTAATCCAAGAGAGCAAGGGCGGAAGCCACGTGTCTTTTATGACCAGTCTCTGATGTCACTCTCTGTCATTTCTGTAGTATCCTGGTGGCCCCACAGGTCAGCCCTCTTCAGTGTGAGCGAGGCTTACACAAGGGTGCGAGTCGGAGGTGAGAATCTCTGGGAGCTATTTTGAGGCTGGCTCCCACACTCTTAGAAACTTGATTTCTTTCCATCGTCTACAGCAAAAAGCCCCTCAGCCATGATGCTCTGACCCAGCCTGCCTCTCTCCTCAAACTCAAGAGCCCAGCTAGACTTCTGCCCACGATCCCATTTGTTTTTACCTTTGCTTTCAAAGATAGCTTTTGCTGGAGTGTTTGTCCTGCGTTTCTGAATGACCAAATCCCACCTACTCTTCTGGTCCAAACTTTTCTATTGCTGCTTTCCAAAGGAAGTAATTTTGCTCAAAACGTCTTTTATCATACTTCTCACTTTCTATTATGTGTCACTGTATACATAGCATCTTTTCCTCCCTATAACATACGTATCTAACGTGTATGAATTACTATAATTTGTTTCCACGGCTCAACCTCTCAGGTGGAATATTCCGTCCCAACAGAGACACACCCAAGAACATCAAACACCAGACCTTAGGCCTCGTGGGTGCTCAGTCAGGACTTACTGTCTGCATATCAGTGGCCACTTTTATTTTTATTTCTTAGTTGACATGTAGTTAGACAATGTTAGATTAGTTTCAAGTGTACAACATAGTGATTCAACCACCCTATACATTATGCTCTGCTCGCAGCAAGCGTAGCTATGATCTGTCACCATACAACGCCATTGCAACGCCGTTGACCCTATTCCCTATGCTGGGCCTTTTATCCCCAGGACTTACTCACGCCATAACCAGAAACCAGTATCTTTCTCTCCCCTTCACCCATTTTGCCCATCCTCTCAGCCCCCTTTGCTCTGACAGCCATCAGTTCTCTGCATTCATAGGTCTGTTTTTGCTTTTTGTTTGTTTTTTATTTATTTATTTTTAAAGATTTTATTTATTTATTTGACAGAGACACAGCAAGAGAGGGAACACAAGCAGGGGGAGTGGGAGAGGGAGAAGCAGGCTTCCCGCTGAGCAGGGAGCCCGATGCGGGGCTCCATCCCAGGACCCTGGGACCATGACCTGAGCCGAAGGCAGACGCTTAATGACTGAGCCACCCAGGCGCCCCTTTTTGTTTGTTTTTTAGATTCCATCTAGAAGTGAAATCAGGTATTTGTCTTTCTCTGACTTATGTCACTTATAATACTCTCTAGGTCCATCCATATTGTTGCAAAAGGCGAGATTTCATTCTCTTTTCTGGCTGAGTAATATCCCATTGTATGTATATACCACATCTTTTTTCGTTCATCTGTGGATGGACGCTTGGGTTGCTTCCAAATCTTGGCTGTAAATAATGCTGCAATAAACATGGGGTGCATTTATCTTTTAGAATTTGTGTTTTCATTTCCTTTGGGCAAATATCCTGTGGTTGAATGACTGGATCATATGGTTTTCTATTTTTAATTTTTTGAGGAACTTCTGTACTGTTTTCCACGGTGGCCGCACCAATTTACATTCCCAGCAACAGTGCACAAGGGCTCCCTTTTCTCCACCTCCTCGCCAACACTTGTTGTTTCTTGTCTTTCTGGGTCTACCCATTCTGACAGGTGTAAGGTGATATCTCATTTTGGTTGATTTGCATTTCCCTGATGGCGAGTGATGTTGAGCATCTTTTCATGTGTCTGTTGGCCATGCGTATGTCTTCTTTGGAAAAATGTATATTCAGGTCCTCTGCCCATTCTTTAATGGGATCATTTGTATCTTTGGTGTTGAGTTGTATAAGTTCATATATCTTATACATTAACCCCTTAGTGGGTATATCATTTGCAAATATCTTCTATTCAATAGGTTGCCTTGTTTTGTTGATGGTTTCCTTTGCGAGGCAAAAACTTTTTATTATTTACTATTTTATAGTCCCTGTAACTTATTTTCACTTTTGTTTCCCTTGCCTGAGCAATCATATCTAGAAAAATGTTGCTATGGCTGATATCAGAGAAATTACTGTCTGTGCTCTCTTCTAGGAGTCTTATGGGATCAGGTCTCACACTTAGATCTTTAATCCATTTCAGTCTATTTTTATGTATGGTGTAAGAAAGTGGTCCAGTTTCATTCTTTTCCAGTTTTCCCAGCACCATTTGTTGAGAGACTGTCTTATCCCCATTGTATATTTTTGCCTCCTTTGCTGTAGGTTAATGGACAATTTAAGTGTGGGTTTACTGGGCTGTCTGTTCTACTCCATTGATCTATGTGTCTGTTTTTGTCCCACTACCATACTGTTCTGATGACTACAGCTTTGTAGTATACCTTGAGATTGTGATACCTCCGGCTTTGTTGATCTTTCTCAAGATTGCTTTGGCTATTTTGCATCTTTTGTGGTTCCGTACAAATCTCAGTATTACTTGTTCTAGTTCTGTGAAAAATACTGTTGGCATTTTGATAGGGATTGCATTGAATCCGTAGATTGCTTTGGGTAGTATGGACATTTTAACAATATTAATTCTTAGAATCCATGAGCATGGAATATCTTTCCATTTGTTTGTATGGGCTTCAATTTCTTTCATCCGTGTTTTATAGTTTTCACAGTACAGATCTTTCACCACCTAGGTTGAGTTCTTTCCCAGGTATTTTATTGTTTTTGGTGCAATTATAAGTGGAATTGTTTTCTTAATTGTTCTATTACTAGTATGTGGAACCACCACCAATTTCTGTTAGCAGCCATTTATTAATGAGCTACCATGTACCAGCTCTGGATTGAGCACTGTAGAAGGATATCAAAAAGTAGGAAATAGGGTCTATGTGCGTAGTGAGTAGTTATGTTTTACACTGGGCTCTTTCTAGAGAAACTCAGCAGAGTTTCTCAGCAATGTACACTGACTTAGTTCAGAGAAGGTAGAGCCTGGGGTTGCCCTGATGTGGGAACCAGATGAATTGAATATCCTGACATAGAGCTGGTCTGGATCCAGGCCAAGAGCCCCAGGAAACATGTATGTGTCTTGGGAGTGAGGGGAGGTGTTGATATCATTGAAAGGAGCTATTGTGACTTTTAAAAATCCTTGACAGTTTCTTTATTCATTGTTTTTCATTACCAAAATGCTATATACTCATGACAAATGAAGTGATGCCAAGTTATCTTAAAGAAGAGTTCATTCTTGGGGGTGCCATGGTGGCTCAGTCGGTTAAATGTCTGCCTTCAGCTCAGGTCATGATCCCAGGGTCCTGGGATTGAGCCCCACATTGGGCTCCCTGCTCAGCAAAGACTCTGCTTCTCCCTCTCCTTCTCCCTCTCCCCCTGCTGATGCTCTTTCTCTCTCTCTCTCTCAAGTAAATAAAAAAAATCTTAAAAAAAAAGAAGAGTTCATTCTTTCCCTCCACCATATTCCAATTTTGCTCTCCCTGCCCCTCCCATGGGTTGCCACAGTCTCTCATGAATTAGAAGAAAGTCTTTGTGTTTTACAGGTAAATGGGTGGCTCAGTCGTTGGGCGTCTGCCTTCGGCTCAGGTCATGATCCCAGGGTCCTGGGATCGAGCCCCGCATCGGGCTCCCTGCTCAGCGGGAAGCCCGCTTCTCCCTCTCGCACTCCCCCTGCTTGTGTTCCCTCTCTTGCTGTGTCTCTCTCTGTCAAGTAAATAAATAAAATCTTTTTTTTTAAATTTTTTTAAATTTTATTTATTTGAGAGAGAGAGAGAGAGAGAGCACAAGTGGGGAGGAGAGGGAGAAGCTGGCTCCCCACAGAGCAGGGAGCCCAATGCGGGACTCAATCCCAGGACCCTGGGATCATGACCTGAGCCGAAGGCAGACGCTTAACCGACTGAGCCACCCAGGCGCCCATAAATAAATAAAATCTTAAAAAAAAAAAAAAAACACATAATCTTCAAGGTAAAATAATTTCCCAACTCTTCTCAATATTTATGCAGATTACTTAGGTTTCCTGACTCTTTGCATGATGTAGAACCTCTGAAATCATGTTGAATAATTGGTGGGAAGATCAGGCATCCTGTTCATGTTCCTGATTTTAAGGGAGCTGATTTTGGTATTTCACTTGCAAAAATCCTATATGCTATCGCTTTTTTATAAACAGTCTCTTATGTTTAGGTAGTTTCCTCACATTATAATGTGACTAGAATTTTTAAAGAAATGACTGCTGAATTTTATCACATGCCTTTCTGGCATCTTGATATAAACCTGTGGTCTTTCTCCTTTGATTTGCTGATGTCATGAGTTGTGATAGACTTTCTAACGTTGAATCTTCCTTGGATTCTTGGATGAAGCCCATTTTTGTCACGGCTGTCACCTGTTCTTTTGTTTTTCACCTCACTTACCCCAGACCTTAGAGCTGAGTGAAGTCCCATATCACACGTTATCTACCCAGTTCTGAACTCAGAATCTGCACACTGTCCTTGATTCCCTCTTCCCCAAAGCCAGCACATCAGCAAGACCTTTTGGTCCCATGTCTAGAATATATCTTGAAAAAAAAAAAAACTTTGTAAAATTATCATGGTAAAATACACATAACATAGGGAGTGCCTGGGGGGCTCAGTGGGTGAAGTGACTCTTGATCTCAGCTCAGTTCTTGATCTCAGCGTCATGAGTTCAAGCCCTGCGCTGGGCTCCATCCTGGGCCTGGAAACTGCTTCTTAAAAAAATACCCATAAGGGGCGCCTGGGTGGCTCAGTCGTTGAGCATCTGCCTTCAGCTCAGGTCATGATCCTGGGGTCCTGGGATCGAGCTGCGCATCGGGCTCCCTGCTCCGCGGGAAGCCTGCTTCTCCCTCTCCCACTCCCCCTGCTTGTGTTCCCTCTCTCGCTGTGTCTCTCTCTCTGTCAAATAAATAAAATCTTTAAAAAAAAAATACCCCTAAAATTTCCTATTTTAAGTATTTTAAGTGTACAATTCAGTGGCATTAAGTACGCTCATCTGTTGTGCAACCATCACCACTATTAATTTCTAGAACTTTTTCATCATTCCAGACAGAAACTGTCGAGAATAAACCATCACCTTCCATCTCCATCCCCTTTCACTGTTTGCTCCTGGTTGTTAGCTCTCCGCACAGTCTCTTCCCACAGCAGCCAGCCAGAGTGCTCTTTTTACGACCTAAATCTGACCTTGGCCAACTCCCCTCTTAGAACCCTCTCTAGATTCCTCCTAGAGCTCTGGATTTTCCTGCCGCCCCCGAGCCTCTGTCTCCTCTCCTCTCCTCCCTGTGTCCTGTGCCCCAGCTGGGCCTCCCTCCTCTCTGTTGTCTGAACTTGAGCTGTAGGCCTCTTTCCTGCCCCAGGGCCTTTGTACTTGCTGTTCCCTCTTCCCAGGATACTTCATAGAGCTGTTTGTTTCATGACCTGTGGGTCTCAGTATAGCTCCCATGTCCTCCGAGAGGCTTCTGCCCTGACCACCTGTACACAGCAGTCTCCTTATTCTCAGCCACGTTCCCTGATCATGTCTTTCTCAAAACTTGAACATGATCTGGAATTACCGGGTTCATGTGTTTCCTGTGTGTTGTCTGTGTCTCCTCAGTGACCTATGAGCTTCCGAGGGCAGGAACTTTCTAGTCTTGTTCATGGCGCCAGCCCAGTGCTTAGGGGCACAGTGACCCTCGGGGAACGTTTGTTGAGTGACTGAACGTGACATATCACTTGTACTCCTTCACCGATGTTAATTATGACTTTAACCCACTGTCACTTAGGTTTGATCACGCCACTCATTGCCTTGAGCTTTATTTCTTTGCAGCTACGAAGGGGAAAAAGTCCGTGGACTATATGAGGGAGAAGGCTTTGCAGTCTTTCAAGGAGGTTGCACCTACCACGTGAGTGACACATTTCGGGAACGGGCAGGGAGGAAGTTTAGAATGTTCTGTGAAAGTTTTAGATTTCTATCCTCAGAAAAGTCCACTGATTCTTCAGAAGAAATTGGAAGAACTTAATGCTGATTTAACTTTGATCACCTACTCTAAGGTGATCAAAGTTCACTCTAAAAATACAGCTCCATACAACTGAAGTCATTTTTTAAAAGATTTTATTTTTTTTTTAAGATTTTATTTATTTGTTAGAGAGAGAGAGACCCAGGACCCTGGAATCATGACCTGAGCTGAAGGCAGATGCTTAACCAACTGAGCCACCCAGCTGTCCCAAGATTTTGTTTATTTGAAAGAGAGAGAGAGCACACAAGCAGGGGAAGGGGTAGGCAGAGAGAAAGGGTGAAGCAGGAATTCCCCTCGTGGTAGAACCCTCCCCACCACCCATCTCTGGAACTTTTCATGTTCCCAAACTGAAACTCTGTCCCCATTTAAACACTAACCCTCATTTCTTCCTCTATAAATATAAAATATATTTTATTTATATTATTTCATTGTATTATATATAAATACATATATTTAATTATATAAATGTATATTATATAACATATATAAATATATATTATGTATATTGCATAGTGTTCTGATTTACTGTTCATTACTGTACCGTAATTATTAGGTACTTTTGAGGTGTTTTTGTTTTTTTGCCATCACTAATAATGATGCAGCACATCATTCAGATTACCAAAGAAACATGTGCTTATAATAAGAACAAATTGTTACGGTTGGAGTCCTAGAGTATGGGTTTCCGTACCCTGATTTTTTTTTTTCCCCTGCTAAACATAATGACACCTTCTTATTCCTGTCTCACAAAAACTCCTAAAAAGGCCATTATTATGGCTGAATGATACTAAAATGACTGTCCCTCCTGGCCTTCGCCAGTTTTGGAATAAGCTGTTGGGTTCCGAATCCTGATCAGAATCCTCCTTCAGCCCCGTGGCTCTAAATGAAGCCCTGAGGTGTGAACACTTCAACACGGCACCCAGTTCTTGATCACCAGGCGTCAACCCCTCCCAGGCTGCTGAGGACGCGGAGTCAGCTCCTACTACCCCAGAGGTGCTTGGCTAAGTCACCTGTAGCTCAAGCCTGGCCCGCTGGCTTCACCCTTCCCATGCATGTGGGGCAAACACCCTCCATTTCTAGAGGATCTCGTCCCTACCCACTGCCCACTACTTGCCGTGCAATCTTCCCACAGTTTCCTCAGACTCTTTTGATTAAAAATAATCATCAGTTGGATCTCCTTTAAATTGTGAGAGAGGCCCACCCAGCAGAAAGACTCCGTAGCCCCAGGCCCCACGTCATGAGACCACGGTTTGCCACATATTTAGCTCGCAATCCCCTCAAGATAGACAATGAAACCAAACATTTCGTGAGACCTTTGCCCTTACCATGTAGAGGCAGCATGATCCTTTCTAGTCTAGTTTGTTAAAACGCTGGTTGTTGTGACCCTAATCGATTCCATAATCACAAGAGCCAGCCAACAGTCGGAAAACCACTGGCTGCCCCACGTTTTCCTTAGTCCCAGGCTGTCTATCATGAGCCCACGTGAACCCGGGCTGATAATATAACGTGTCTCCTTGCTAGTGAGTTGGGGCCGCCGTTCTCCAGAGAAGCGTGGTCCGGGGGACCAGCAGCATTATCTGGGGATTTTTTCAAAATGCACATTCTCGGGCCCCAGGCCAGACCAGCTGATGAATCAATCTTGGGGGTGGGCCCAGCAATCTGTGTTCACAATCCCCTTCAGAGGCAGCTCTGAAGCATGGTAGAGTCTGAGAACCACTGAGTTAGAGTGCTGTTTCCATAGGGTGTGTCCTCCCCTACACCCACCCTACCTCTAACCGGGTGATCCCAAGGAAGAACTGGACATATTCTTACCTTCTTTTCTCAAATAGCATTTAGACATTCAGGTGTGCTAAGTTGTTAGGGACTAGTTCCTAACTAGTTCCTATTAGTTAACAGTAGACACTAAATATAAACGGACGATACTGACAGCTGGGGGTCGTATACGTATATGAATATGTCTGTATACATGGACACATGCACACGGATAAATCCCAGTACCGGAAAACAGACAAGCATGAAATTTACAAATGGAGTAGTTGCTAATATCCACATAATGGTTTTCACCAGGTCTACCTAGTTTTTTTTTTTTTTTTAAGATTTTATTTATTTGAGAGAGAGTGAGTGAGTGAGAGAGAGCACAAGCCAGGGAAGGGGCAG